TTAAGACTTTGTAGATGAAAGGCAGAGTTGTGATTATGTATATCCTGGATGCTGTACAGCTGCCAACTAATGTATTATAAGGTGTTTGGCTCCTCAGATGTAACAAGATGAGCAAGAGCTAGGCTAGGTGCTTTGACTTACTTTAAGAAATAATGCCATGGAGCAAATGTGAGAGTGAAAAAATCTTGACTTAATCACCCTAAAGAGGATCTTATTAAGAACAAAAATAAAGGCCCTTGCCTTTTGAAAAATCACTACTGAGTTTCAGAATAAGAGAATCAACATTAAGGGATGGAAAATTGGGAAAAAGTGATCTATTCAGGGTTGCCACGCTACCTGGAAAACCTGGAGAACCGGGAAAAGTCAGGGAATTCGAAAATTGACCAAAATATTCAGGGAAAAGTCAGGGAATTTAAGTATTTTTGTCAAAATCTGGAAAGTCAGGGAAGTTCATACATACAACGATCCAGCCAAAAAAAAAGCGATTTTTTGCGCCGACGGTCGGAAGAGGTAACGTTTTTGGCGAATTATGTATCACGTGAGTGTCATTCGGGTAGCTGGCATAGAGCCAATTTTCGCAGCTCCAATTTGATTGTCTTTTAGGAAAGGCAAAGCAACTTTTGGTTTCCAATATTCTCGAGAATCGCATGTGCAGTGCATGAACTAAAGAAAGTACCTGTTCTCGTATAAAACGAAATGGGTTTAATCCTAGTATACGGTACCATGGAGGTTAGAATCAAAGAATATGTATTGTAAAGAAGGAAAACCTCTCTGCAACAGACGTGGCTGTCGCTCCGTTCCATCATAGAGGGAAAACAGCTGTGCATGTCTGATATATCTGTTGCCAAAGCTCGAAACCGGTGTCGAAGTTCGAAGGTCACGTTATCAAGAGTTCATAAAATGAATATCGTTTAAAAATTTCTTTAACCACATGCGCTAAAAAAAGACGTGCCACGCACGTCAAGATGCTTTTGTCTCAAACCGCGAGCGACGTGAACACGTCGATAAAAGCATTTATCGCAAAAATGAAAAATAACGTGGTGCACACGTCGCCTAACAACGAGATTGTTTATTTCTCGAGTTACAGCTCTGGATTGCACTCGCGATGCGGACGGGTAATAAGACACTTTCCGCTTGTTATATTGTAGCGCACGGCACCGCAACCGTGAAGTTTAGTCTTAGCGCAGTGGTTAAATCTATTTTTTGGGGATTCATGGATAGTTTATTCACTTTCATGCGTCCAGAAGAAGTCTTTGATACGAGGGCTATCCAGAAAGTAGATTACGTTTTGGAATAAAAAAATAAACAAAGTATAGGAAACAAATTTTATTATATACAGATGAAAGCCACACTCAAATACTACTTTTCTACATAGTCACCATACAAATTAAGGCATTTATCGTAGCGATGTACGAGCTTGGAAATTCCTTCGTCGAAAAATTCGGCCGCCTGCGCCTTCAACCACTTCGTTACCTCTTCTCTTCTTGCAGCTGTGCGTCGTCATCAAAACGCTGCATAGCCAGCCACTTCTTCATTGCTGGGAATAGGTGGAAGTCGCTCGGTGCCAGGTCGGGACTGTACGGCGGATGAGGAAACAACTCCCACTTAAAAGATTCAAGAACTTTACGAGTGACATTTGCCGTGTGGGGCCGGGCGTTGTCGTGAATCAACAAGATCTTAGAGCTCAACATTCCTCTGCGCTTGTTTTGAATTGCTCTTCTGAGTTTTTGGAGAGTTTGGCAATACCTTTGAGAGTTTATTGTAGTGCCTCTTTCCAGGAAGTCCACCAAAATTACACCTTTTCTGTCCCAAAAAACAGTCGCCATCATCTTCCTTGCCGACATTGTTTGCATGCATTTCTTGGGTTTTTGGGGAGAACTTGTGTGTGCCCCCACTGCATTGATTGCAATTTCGTTTCACAGTTCACATGTTTTTCACCCATGTTTCGTCACCAGTAACGATGCGATCGAGTAAAGAGTCACCATCCTTATGGTAAGCGTCCAAAAAGTTCAACGCTGCAGCCATTCGCTGATTTTTGTGGTCCTCTGTCAAGATTTTTGGAATCCATCTTGCACAAAACTTGTGGTAACCAAGCTTTTCGCTGATGATTTCGTGCAACAAACTTCGCGAAATTTGTGGAAAACTCAAAGAAAGTTCCGTTATTGTGAAATTTCGATTTTCACGGACTTTAGCATCGACTTTTTCGAGAAGTTCGGCGGTCACTATGCTGGGTCTCCCACTTCGATCTTCGTCGTGAACATTGGTTCGGCCATTTTGAAATCTTATGACCCACTGACGCACTCCACCTTCAGTGATAATGTTGTCCCCATACACTTCACGAAGCTGCCGATAGATTTCTATCGGTTTACAGTTTTTTGCAGTCAGAAACCTTATTACTGAGCGCACCTCGCAGCTCGCGGGATTTTCAATTAACGCAGACATTTCAAACCGTCACAGTATCTGAACGGAGCACAGCACGAACCTCTCACTAGCACGGCTAGATGCAGACTGAGCTGCGCAACGCTCTGACCCCAAGATGGCCGCGCTAGCCCCGCCCCTAGCGGACACAGACGGAAACGTAATCTACTTCCTGGAATGCCTGAAATTTTTTGATTTTCGCATAATTTAAAACGGATTTTCGTAATTTCTTTTTGCATTCTAGCGGCGTCATTACATGGAACCCTTCTTCTTAGAATTATTCTAATAGCATTCTAACCTCCAGGTACGGTACACACAAGATAATTGGATTTGGCGACATCTATGATGCGCGGTAAACGGGTCATTTTGGTCTTGGCGACAATTTTCAAAATCGTGCCAAAGCCTTACCCTATACTAGAATTTTACCGCCAAAATCTTTTTAAACCCTTTTTTTTTTTTTTTTTTTTAAATAAATACCTTGCCATTTTTTCAGTAAAATAAAAAAATAGTAATCAGTCATCTAGGCTAAGCCATTGTAATATAACTATATTCGCTAAAATATTCGTTGATTATTCTAATTCAATTTTTAAGTAATTATCTTTATTTTATGTTATTCATATCATTTAATGTCGCTTCTTCTTCCCTCTAAATTTATTTATTATTTAGTAAATAATACTTTCCAAATTTCAGGAAATTTTCTCTGGCATAATCCTGAAATGAATTATAGCAGTATGATGACATACCAAATTTAATGCACATATTTTTTCCTAATGTATGCTGCGAAATAAATATAAAATACCTCAATTTATTAAAATAGATTCTTTCTTTTCTTCGTTAGCTGCAGAATGTCTGCAAAAAAAGCCTTATTTTATTCCAGATTGGGAAGATTCTAATTTCAATCTTCAGTGGAGAAAAACAGCAACTATTATAATTATATTTGTGTTTTCAAGTGTTAAGGTGCCTTTTAAGAACATACCTCACGCAAATTAAATTTACCTAAAATCTAACCTAACTATTTAGCATTGCATTGTGATTTATAAGGACCGGATTAGCCTTGTGTTGAACTGGTGATGATCATGAGTAATAATTAAATAAAACATACATTTGTTATCCAATATATATATCTTAAATTTTATTAAGTTTCTTAAGTGGAAAACTAAACAAAATTATCGAACAAGGTATACCAAGAATAGTTAAGAATAAATGTCCTCTGGGATTTATTAAATAATTAAGTGAATTTGCTACACAATACAAGTAATACCATAATTAATTTACCTCTTAGTACAGCCAACGTACATTACGTGGATAGACTGGAATTTTCTTGAAACACACCTGGAAAACCTGGAAAAGTCAGGGAATTTCATTCTCCTGTTTGAGTGGCAACCCTGTCTATTTCATTTCTGAAAATTTTAATTGCTCATAAAAAGGCTGGGGATTTCAATAAATTTAATGTATTGTAAATTTTCTGAATCTTTTCATTCATTTATAAAAATCTGATGTGTACACCACATGACTTCCTTGTATGGAATATTAAATTATATGTATTTTTTGCTGCATTTCATTTAAAACTATTTCCTTGAATTTCATTAGAGATGAATTTCTCATTCAGTTAATTCAGTTCTCTCAAGACAAAAATGCATAAAACCTCAAAATATCTTCATTAAAAATTGAAAAACCAAATACCAAAATAAAACACCAAATACACTTAAAACAATTTAAAAATTAGAGTTTATACCCAAAAGCAAGCAATTCAGCCAGCAGGCAAGAAGGCAGATTATTAGTGCACAAAACTGAAAGTTTACTTTTGGTTCCACTGAAGGTGAAGAACTGACTTCATTCACTATTCTGCTAAGTTTCAAATGTAAACAAATATGGCTGCTATGATAAAAAAAAATAGGCTTAGCTGCACGTAATCAACTTTTAAATTGTTGATAATTCTACAACTATTGCATGTAGCTTAATTAAAAGCATAAAAACCATAAATGGAAGATAAACTATATAATTCAATCATTTTTAAAGCAAAAAATGCACAATTTACCAATATATAAGAATTTTTTAAAAAAGGAGCTCGCAGAACCGAGTAACAGAGTGGGTATATATACTTTTGGTACAACCCATTGCAGCCAAAAAAGAAGGTGCACAACTGCATGTTATAGCAGTCCTATATACCAAATTGCAACATTCTAAGGCTACTCACTTTTGTGTTATGCAAGGTGCATACAGACATACATACCTACCTACAGACATCACGAGAAAAATCTCTTCTGAATCTATTTTAAATCCTTTTTGCCAACTGTTTTGGGAAAAGGTGTGCTTTATTCTGTCCTTACATACAGATGTCATGCAAAAACATCATTAAATTGCATTTGGTAGCTTCAAAAGGGATATTTTTGTTGAATTATGACACCCAAAAATTTTTGCGATCACATACTTCCTTTAACTCGTATGAGAAAGAAATAAAAGTATTTATTGTAAGGCAGTGAAATAAAATAAAAGTAAACACTTTTATTATTACTGTATGTTTCAATTTTATATTTATACTAAAATGCTTATATATTACATTAATGTTAACTATTGTCTAGAAAATTCCAACACCAAATCTTCTGACTGACAGTGAAGATATGTTTAGTGGATTTGATGTACCTGCGGATAGCAGCAAAACATTAAATGTGATAAGTAAAGTAAGTTTTAAAGCAAATTGCATCTTTGCATTCACTTTTATGATAAAAACATCATTATATTCTTTTTGTTCAGTTTTGTGTTGATCATAATGCTATTTAGAGATTGTAGAGGGATGATTTGAATTTGTGATTAAGACTTTGTGACCACTTCTATATTTTAAGAATGCATTCACCAGAATGATATAGCTGGCATACTATAAATTGAGAATGTTATTTAAGGGCTTCTAATGATAATGGGGGATACTTTTTCAAATGCATGTCATGTACAAGCAATGAGAAATGCTGCTGATTTAAATGACTAGGGTAAAGCCCAAATTTTGGTGGTTCAAAGACTAGGAACTTGTATTTTTGGAATGGCATTGCTTATTGAGCATTCATGAGCTGCCATTTTTAATATCCATGAAAAGTGAAAGAAAATATTGAAATTGGTAGTAGATAAAGGCATTTAACATCTTAACACTGATCAATGAATGCAAACATCAGACACTGCTCTTCTTAAGACAAATAGGTGAGTACTGATGGCTTGTAGTTTATGTTCAAATTTCAAGTATACCTGAGCACATAGTACATCAGATTCTATTGAATATATGACTTTGATTACCCAGTATCATTTATAACTACACTGGGCTCATTAATTCGTTATTGGACCCTGCAACACTGAAAATGAGTTATCTGGTTGGATGAATTATACACTAAAGAGCCAAAACGGTATGACCACCTATTCAAAAACGTGTTGTGCCAGCTTTGGCCTGCTAAACAGCTCCAACTCGCCTCATCGTGGATTCCACAAGTTCTTAGTAGATGACTAAAGATAGGTTGTACTAAATGTCTAAGCAACGGTCAGGCAAAGTCAAGATATTTCATCATGATGATGTTTGAGATTTGAGTTCCACTCTGTCGGATTAAGATTTGACGAGTTAGGTGGCAGAACATTAATTGCAATTCATCCTTATGTTTCTCCAACCACTCGCACACAATTTCAGCCTTTTGATATGGGGCATTGTCCTGCTGGAAGATTGCATTTCCAGTTGGGAAGACAGATGCCATATAAGGATAGAACTAATCTGCAGTTAAGTGCAGATAGTCCGCAGCTTTCATGGTCTGTTCTACCATAACTAAGAGTCCCAGAGTCACCCATGAGAATGTTCCTTAAAGCGTAATGCCACCACCACCAGCTTGTTTTGACCTGCTGTAGTTGGGGATAAGCAACTGTTTACCTGGAAGATGGCATATCCTGACACGACCATAGACGTGTTGAAAGAGAAATTGTGATTCATCCAACCAGACAACTGTCTTCCACTTATCCAAGGTCAGTCTCGATGTTCCCAGGCTTAATGTAAGCATAGTTGACAATGACGCTTGATCAACAGAGGCATATGAGTAGGATGTTAAATGTGCAGTCTCATATCTAAGAGTGTCCACTGAACTGTGTGTTCCAAAACACTTGCACTTGGATGTGCATTGTATTGGGCTGTCAGCTGAACCACTTACTGGTCCCAGTTTTGTTTTACCAAGAGGTCTTCAACGTCCTTTTTTCTTTGATGATGTATGGATGTCCAATACCTTGGCATCTGCTGCTGGTTTCACTGTCATTTATCCACTCTGCATGAATACTAGCAATGGCAGATTGTTAGTATTCCTACCATTCATTGCAGTTTTGGAGATACTCGTTCTGAGTCTTCTGGCCATTACAATCTGCCGTCTAACAAATTTGCTTAGATCAGCAGCCTTTTCCATCACTCCTAGATGTAGTTGTAAGAATGATTCCTCACCATGCCTTTTTTTTTTGTCACGATTAGTACATAGAGAATTATGTGCTGTGTTCTGGCAGTCATAATGTAATTGCTACGAGGAGCGCTGAAAGTAAAGAAATGCATGAGCTGGGCGGGGCAGGAAAGCTAAAGTGTAGAAGGGGGAGTGTGACCAACGTCACATGAGCACTAGATGATATCTGAATGGTGCAGTTCATTATGTTGAAAATACTGTTGCGTTTTTTAATCTTCTGACACCAGTTGTTACGTTATTTTCTTCCTTCACGTTCGTACAGGGTTCGTGTGGATTTGGAGTGAATAACGATGACACTACTTGATGAAGTATCGAAACACACTTTATTTAGCCAATATTAATCAGGACAGCTCCAAATTCACGTTTACAGTCATCGAACTGTTATAAACAAGCTGACACGTTCAGCGACACAGCCTTCACACTGTCAGGCAATAACGGTGGGGACAGCTTCACTGCAAAGCATCAGAGTACAGCTCTTGACTTTGCTTGGTCGTTCTTGGAACTCCACGTACTCTTGAGACTCTCCACGCTACAACTTACGATGCACTCGACGACACACAGAGCACAGCTCCCGACTCTTCGGTTCAGTTGTTCCCGGAGCTCAACACGCTCTCTCAACGATGCACTAACCGTGAAAGAACATTAAGAGGCTCCTTCGATGCACTCGACAACCCACTCGGCACTCACTGGCTGGCTGTCAACTCGATCGTCTCCGCACGCACTAACTAGATGAGACATACTCACACTCGCCCTGTCGACGAGGCACATACTCACACTCGCCCTGTCTGACTGCGGACCAGCAGGGTTTAGATAGCTTTCGGCTTGTGTTCAAGAACATTCTGGGCTAAACCTGTAAGAATTCGTTCCAGAAGGTTCTCCATCCGTCCATGGCATGTCGCCAAATGGGCGATTTCTCACCAAATGTGACAACCCTGTCTTTTTTGCCATTTTATGGTAAACCTAAACCGGCTTTGCGGCAAAGCCATCTTACCGCATTTCGTAACAATACGATAAAATACAAGAGAGAATATAAGATTATATGCAAAATAATAAAACATAAAGTAAAGTTCTTGATTAGATAATCACTGTTTACATATGTGCAAAGTCTCAGGAAAGCATTATAAGCTGGAAAAATTAGTAGTAAGTCATAAGGCACAGGTCACTTCTGGCTCTGGTGAATGCTGCTTCATTTCTTTAAGTTAGAATTTGTGGTGCTACTTTGGTAGACGGTTGCAGGTTGCATGGATTTTGGCGAGCAATACGACTTATGGTAAACCCATTGCTAAACAAGTTATTTATGGTAACCGATACTTTGCTGTCATTTTATTTTTTGAATAATGCATTTTATTATGCATAAATTCCATGTTTTAAATATTATTTATGTCTTCTAAATATTAAAAATCAATTTAATTTTGCATTTTTATTTTAAATAAAAATTTTATTGTTTATGATATTTTATGTTGTGGATGATGTAATGAATGATGTCACCTTACTTTAAAGTAATTGGTTTTAATATTTATAAATTTAATCTAATGTTTTAAACATTATTTATGCCTGTGAAATATAAAAATACAATTTAATTTTGCATTTTTTAAATGATTTTTATTATGTATGATTATTTAAATAATTTTAATTCTATCCACGATGTAATCAGCTCCCTGATTGTTTATAGAATATTTGTGCATTAACAAGTTGTAATCAGCTCCCTGATTGGTTATTGAATATTTGTGCATTACAGCACCATTTTAAAATTTTATTATTCATCTCTTCAAATTCCTTAATTGCATTTTTCAAATTTTTTTCCTTAGATTACATTTTTAAAATTATATTACATTTTTCACATTTTTTTCATTGATATCTAAATTATGATTTCGATTTGTTTTGTGGTATTTATCAATATACGACAGGTTAAATACTAAAAAAAATGTAAGTACATATTTTTCTTTAACTTTATAATTGTATACTCCACTTTTTATTAAAAAAATGTATGTACTGTTTTCATAAACTTCCGAGATGCTTATTGCCACATATGTTTTAATGTTAAATAATTATATCACCGCGGCGCGCAATGAATTGGAAGTTGATCTATCAGCACTATCCTTATCTTCAGGGCAGATGTTTTTATTTTATTTGGCTTATAATTCCTTACTAAATGTAGTAGTTCATCTCGATGTACTCCGTCTTTGATATGATTTAAATCAAATTTCTCATCATTATAATTCGCTTCCGATAGTGAAGAAAGTGACACAGAGGTCAATTGAGAAAACGAAAAAATTTCAATTGACAAATTAGTCGGTATTCTCGACACAGCAATTATAGGACTTGAACAACGGACTTTGTAACTGAAGAAGAAATTATGTCTGTTTATAGAATTAAAGAGAAAGTATTATCACATAAAACGAAGCAACTTAAACAACTTACATTGAAAGAAATGTTTAATAAAGTAAAGAAATAATATTTAAGTTTTTTTTTTTTTTGTAAATTTTGATACCCTTTAGATCATAATTGTTCTTTATTTCATGAATTACGGTTTCGTATTTTTAATTTTATAATTTCTGCATGCCATCTTACCAGATTTAAACTGATGATCTATAATCCGGAAAAATTGATAATCCGGAATCGCCGAAGTCCCGTCGAGTCCGGATTAAAGACTTTTGACTGTATATACAAAAAATATTATTGATATATGTAAATCCTAATCCCAAAATCGCACAGGGGGTTTTATTGTCTGTCCTATATGCAACTGTTTTGCAGGAAACATGTTAATTTTAGGAGGTAAGTCTGTTGGAGGTTTCACAGGTTGTCTTATTGACGTTGTTGGTTGCTTTGTAGTAACGTCTGGTGTTTGCAAGAAATATGCAGGCTTTAATCGATCAATAGACACTGTGAAACCTCCAACATACTTACCTCCTAAAATTAACAAATTTCCTGCAAAACAGTCGCATATAGGACGGACAATAAAACCCCTTGTGCGATTTCGGTATTAGCATTTACATGTATCAATAATATTTTTTGTAAATAGTGTGTTTTAAAGGTAATAATATGCTCTACCATAACTTAGTTACTGGGAAGGGAGTACTGTTGTGGCTTGAACTTATACAGAAACTTTAAATACTGATTAATATTGTTTGATTTTTGTTGTTTTGAGAATAGCAACAAAAAAGATTAGACTAGAAGAGAACACGCTAATGTGACAATCAAAATCGTAAAAACAACCTTGTATTTAGCGTAAGTATATTGAAACACTCAATCGATTTCGAGGGCAGCTAAAGGTCCCTCCTCACCAGGAGAAAGAAATACCTAGAAAGAGGAAAAATAAAGGGGAAGGAGTCTCAGAAACACGTGTTCCTTATCAGTACTGCACGTGGTTATAACCGGATTTTTAATCAGAGTTACACTTGCCGCCCCTTTTTTTACTGAGCCAGGCTATCTGATCAAACATGTAACACAAAGGACAAGAAAAATTAGCGAAGTTAAAAATAGGGAGCGAGGGCAACTGCACCTTCACGCTCAAAATTTGAACTTCGAATAATGGAAAGCAACCACTGAACGGATTTTTATTCCCTCAGGTAGTACCAAACGCGAGGAGGTAACGCCATCTATCGGCAAAAATAAATGAATTAAGAAAGTATAATTTTAAAGGCATTAGGAAGGACTGGATTGGACTTCAAATCATTAACTAAACATGTTAAATCTTTGTGAATATGAAAAGCCTCAAGAAAATCCAATTCACCTATGGAAGAAGCCTTTTGGATAATTTTTGCAGACCCAAAGTCAAAATTATGGTTAAATGTCCAACTATGATACGCTATTGAAGACTTGTTAATTTCGCCTTTTCTGAGATAAGATTCATGTTCCTTGATACGAAACTTCAACGCTCTTTCTGTTTGGCCAAACAAAAGTTTGGCGCGTTTGGTACTACCAGAGGGAATAAAAATCCGTTCAGTGGTTGCTTTCCATTATTCGAAGTTCAGATTTTGAGCGTGAAGGTGCAGTTCCCCCTCGCTCCCAATTTTTAACTTCGCTAATTTTTCTTGTCCTTTGTGTTACATGTTTGATCAGATAGCTTGGCTCAGTAAAAGTAGGCAGCCAGTGTAACTCTGATTAAAAATCCGGTTTTAACCACGTGCAGTACCGATAAGGACCACGTGTTTCTGAGACTCCTTCCCCTTTATTTTTTTTCTTTCTAGGTATTTCTTTCTCCTGGTGAGGAGGGACCTTTAGCTGCCCTCGAAATCGATTGAGTGTTTCAATATATTTACGCTAAGTACAAGGTTGTTTTTACGATTTTGAACAAAAAGATTATTCAATTTTGTTGTTCTGGTGATTGAATTTTCATTAACAGTTCTGTAGTTGAGCAATTACTAGCTGTTGATACACCACAAATCTCTTTAGAATGCATCATATCTGAAATTATAGCCATGATCGCCAACTTGTAATTCTTCATCACTAAATCGTAATTCTTCATCACTAACAAGTATTATATTACACATACAATCCAGCGATTTCTCTAACCATAACATTTTATTTAAATTTTTGGACACATCTGATGTTGCAACAAATTTTAATTTTTGTAATAATTGACTGGTTTTCAAGTTGCTTAAATCGATTCCTGTAAGAAAATTTTTAATTCTAGTACTTTCGCTTTCCTTAAATAAATCCAGAAGCCTTGTTTTGTATTCTGGATATTTAGTAGCGGAATTAGTTACGATATCCCATATGTTCTCAACATATTTGGGTTCTAACTGTTATACTAAGTAGTTAAATTTCATTTCTTCCGAAGCAATTCCATATATCTTAAACTGAGCCTCAACTTGAAAAACGGTACTACTTTGGTAGACGGTTGCACGGATTTTTGGCGATTTACTTTGGTGCAATTGTTGGTGCAGTTTTTACAATCGTCGGCCATCTTGAAATACGCCGTTTTTACGTTATTTTCCGCATAGTAAAGTATTCGAAACTTTAAAAAAATAAATATCGTTAAAAATAATAGATTAATTTTTTTGTTGGAAACGTTGTTTTTTAAGATGGCAAGCAAATGTAAATAAATACATTTACAAGTATAAAATACTAAAGAAAGGTTAAAGTATTACTTTCATATAGCACAGAAATAGAATAAAAATACCGCCATAAAAACATTGCGCCAACATTTAATTGGATTAAAATATTACGTAAATTGAATATCGAATTAAAAACTATCATACCAACATTTCAAAGAATTAAAATATTACTTAAATTAAATGCTTTAAAATAAGTAAATAAGAATGCTTCTAAGCGTTCTTATTTACTTAATAAGTAAATTTTAAAATCCAAAAATTGAGCAACTTGATATTAAGATATTGTCATAATATTTTGGCTTATCACTGTATATCAAGCAAGGTATTAATTACACACGATAAGATCTCTGATCTTATGTGATTCTGGATATTAATAAAAAATTTCCAGAATAACTGTAACAGCACAGATTACAGTCAGATAGCATGGAAGTGACTCAGTAAGATGTTGGATGCCTGTTATAACTATCTGGAATCTTGCAGACTGTAATGCATTTAACCCTTTGTGGCTCAGTGTTCCACTACATGGAACACCCAAATTGAATCCCTTCTGAAACCTTTAAATTCAACTGTAAATAGATAAAAATGCCTTTATAATATACTTTGAACTTTTCTTTTTAAACAGTAGATAGCAGCATATCACAAGAAGACACAGAATTTTCATTTATTATATGTTATTAAAATCCACTTTTTTCAAGTAATTTTCTCTATTTTTTTAATGATATAAAAAATTTTATTTCGAAAAAAAATTAGGCATAATTTTGCTGGCTGTACTCCAAATTATTTGTTCTATATTTTTTGAAATCTTTCATACAAAAACCATGCACAGAATCATTGAATAAAACCGGGTGTTCCATTAGGGAGAACAATGCGCCTTTAGCGATCTCATGCTGTTACGAATCAGAACATCTGTGCTTACGAGAGAACATCCGTTGTTTACGTTTGGGGGGGGATGAATTCAAACAAAGCAGTATTGAGGGGTGAGCTGTGTTTTATATGAAAGCCTTAATATTGGCATCTCGAATTTTTTGGGAGTAGTTTTTAGGCAGGAATTGTATTAGTAGCTTGACTCATCTTTACTTAGACCTGCGCGAATTTTTTGCTGTTGCTTTTTAGTTTCATTCCCGTTTATTTTCAATAATTGTGTAGATATTTTTCGTGTATGTATATATTATAGGCTTATTTTTCTTTATTGTTAATATTAATCGTAGTTAATTATTTTAATCTTAGTTGGTTTGTGCTTCCATCAAAAAGGTGTGACTTGCTTTGAACAATTTCACGAAGCTAAGAAATAGGAAAATTTGTAAATATTTTTGTATATAGAACTTGTGTATATATCTCATTTATCCGTATATATTCAAGAATATTGTGTATATCCAGGAAACCATGTAACAGCCATAATACAGGGTTTTTTCATTCTTATACGAACGCTTCTACTCATTTTTGTGCTTCACTGCAATGCTCGCTTAGTCTCACTTTTAAAAGCTTTGGCGGCGCAGTGCTTCACCTCATGGAACACCCACATAATAAAATGGTAAGTGCAATTTTTACAAAATTTTACCTGTATACTCCTTTAGGAATGAATAGACTGCATACAACTATTTTTGTTGAAATTCCGATGTTAACGTATAGTGCGCTGCAAAGGTTAACAGCAGTTGTTGAGCAGTTTTGTGGTTTTTCCTATGTGTACCATTAATATGAACCAGATTCTCACAGGAAACCTTTCATGAAGGTTACCCTTTCACTAAATTGGTAATCCTTGCTTGCTTTGCCATAAGTGATTAAAGAATGACATTACCCATTATATGATATGTAGTTTCTTTCTTGGGGGAGGGGGATGGAATATATTTTGTTTTATTCAGAGAGAATGTGTACATATATTTTTTATAATTTTTTTAAACTTTGTTATAGGACAGAGCTAAAATTACTGCAAAGCGAAGGAAGCCAACAAAAAAAGGGCGTTTAGCAGCACTGGAGAGTAGTGACAAAGAAAATATTAATACAAACTCTACTTTAACTGATTCTGAGGATATAAAGTCTTCAAAAGATGACCTATTTTCTGACAGTAAAGATAAAACATCATCCTCTGAAAGAACTTCACCCATAAGTTACAAGATTCAAGAAAAGAAAAAGATGAACCTTATGTCCCAGCTAATAAATGAAGTTGCTACTACAAAGATTGGCAAAAGGCACTCACCAGATAAAGTAGATAATATTGTTGAAACATCAAAGAGAGATCAAACAGAAAAAGATGACTTTTCTTTTCTATCTCCAGTAAGAGATAGTTTTGATTCTAGCTTTGCTTCTAAGACGAAAGAAAACGAGTCAAATGTCTTAAATCTAGAATCAGAAGATGAAGATTTTTTTGCTGGGCCATCATTTAAAAGTAAGTCTTTTTACTTTAATACAAAATTTTAATTGTCAAGTGTATTTTACTTATTTATTGAGAAATGGAAATATGCGTATTGATTTCAAAATTCTTAAGGTAGCCAATAAATTTTAGAGATACAAAGTAATTTACATAATTTTTATCACAAATATTTCTGTCTTTACTGAGAGAGCACACACAAATTATCTATCTAAATTGAAAATCAGTGTTTAAAAACGTTATAACTAAAAGATGAAAATGAGTAAATTGTGATATCTTAAAATACAGGTTGAAAATTTTTATGATTTCAACATATAATTATTTTCTAAGAATTAATTTTTGAAGTGTTGTATGATAAACCTATCATAAAATAATAATGGAATTGGTTTGTCTTAACATTAATGTAATCTTTAATAACCTTTGGAATTTTTAAATAAGTCCTTTAAATGATATTGTTTAATATTAAGAGGAAAGTGCTTCTTTTCTGTTTCCAGTTAAAGATAGTTTTGATTCTGGCGTTCCGTCTAAGAAGAAAGATGATGACGAGATAAATGTCTTAAATGTAGAATCAACCGATAATGATGATTTTTTTGCTGAACCGTCATTTAAAAGTAAGTCAAACTGTAAAAATAACTTACTTTAAATACAAAATTTACTTGTAAGTAAATGAAATTGTGAAGTATTTTTAATAACTTATCTGAAAATAGAAATATGCTTATTAATTAAAAACATTTTAAGGGAAGCAATGAATTTTCAGGATCCAAAATAATTTGTCATTTTTTCTATGAACACTTCAATTTATCTTCTTCCCCAGGGAAGCATGCATGTAACTAATTATCCATCACAGTTGAAAATCAGTATTTTAGATCATCATAATATACAAGATGCACACAAAAAGTAAGCAGACAATTTCTTATAAATAAGAAAAAGATTATTAACCTTAAAATAAATTTATGTTCTTCAAAATAACCACCAGAGGAATCTATACAATTTTCAAGCATTTCTTCAGGTCATCGAAACATGGTTTATAGGTGTTGGAATAAACCGTTCGCAAAATATGCATAACATTTCTTCAAATATCTGACATATTTACAAATATTTGTCCTTTTATGGCCATCTTAAGTTTCAGAAAAAGGAAAAAAATCAGCTGGCGATACGTTGAGAGAATATGGTGGCTGATCACTGCAGTTAAGTGCTAAGCAAGATATTGTTATACGAACAGTACTGTATGGGGCCTAGCATTATCATGTGAAAGAAACCATTGCCCAAAATCGAAAAGTTCCTTCCTCACTCACCTATCCTGTTTGTTAATCAGAAAAACGCCTCCTTGTAAAAATATTGAATAATTGATTGATTTTTGAGGGACAAATTCATGGTGAATAAGTCCTTTGTTAATAAAAAATGCAATAAGCATTACCTTAATGTTTGATTTTGTCATTGATGCATTTTTTATGTGGGAGAAGTTGATTCTGTCTACTGCGCACTTTGTATTTTTGTTTCTAGGTCATATTGTAGACACCAGGTCCCATCTGCTGCTATGATACATTTTAAGAAATTGTTGTCCTATCTCAAAGTAGTTAGCACATATTCACAGCAAGTTTTCTACCTTCTTTTTGTTGTTCTGTCAAAATCCATGGCAGAAAATCATGGGCAGACTTCCCAATTTTCAGATTTTCAATTAAAATTAACTTACAACTTTCTTTGCTTATCCCATGTATGTCTGAAAGTTGCTGAGTTGTTACACGTCTATCAGCTTTTACCAAAGAACGAATTTTCTTCACATTTTCCACATTCTTTGAAGTTGAAGGGTGTCCTATCTTTGGTTTGTCTTCAATGTTATTGCACTCACATTTAAATTGGTTGTAGCATTTATACACTTGTGTTCTTGATCATAATGCATCACAATATATTGTTTGACGCATCTCTAATGTTTCAGTAGCACATTTACCTAATTTATAACAAAATTTAATGTTAAGACATTATTCCTTCTCAAAGCAAATATTATTATACAATGAAAATGGTCATTTTGATCATGCTACGGGCAAAATAACCACTTTGAACTGGCTTTAAAAAGAGTTGAGATGTTACTGTTTCTAAATATATATTATATCTCTTATTTTGTTATTTTATCATTTGGTCTTTTAATTTCTCCAGTTACTTTATGGGCATACCTTGTGTGCAAGAATCTATTGGGTTTCAACTAATTAAATTTAGTTTTTGCATATCATTTTAAACTGAAAGATGAAAATAAATTGTAATGCCATGAAATATAATTGAAAATTTTTGTGTATGATTTCAGTGTAAAATCATTTTCTCAGAATTAAATTTTGTATAATAAACCTCTGCTAAAATAATGAAATATGTTTGCCTTAGCATTAATGCAATCTTTAATAACCTTTTTGTTGGAATTCTAAATAAGATCTTTTAATGACATGCTTGATATCAAGTAAAAACTGTTGTTAAATTTTGTGTATTTTACCTTTATTTACTTTAATGGAAGTTCTGATCTTAGTTTCAAAAGTGTTAATTTGATCTCATATTAAGTCCAGTGATCATATAAAACATTATCACCATTTAAAAATCAGTATTGTTTTATTTCTTTATTTTTAACAGAAAATATTGTATTAACTTTTTTCAAAACATTAAATCATAAAATAGGATTAATCAGAAGTTAGGCTTTTGGTAATGAAATTTGCATGTTACATATTGGGTAATTAAGTTTGCCAATTTTAATGATTTAGCATGGTGGACACTTTAACTCAGAAGTACCATATAGAATTTTTGAAAGTGGAAATTATAAACTATATGTATGAGTTTTGATATCTTTCACATTTTACTAGCTAATCTGTGTAATTTAAATCAGTTCTAAGGTTGTTTTTTGTCCAATTTTATATTTCATCACTGGTGTGTCCATATGTGTTCATTTATTTGTAAAAATGCATAGGTTATGCTAATCACGTTAAAAAATACATTGATTTTTTTAGTTAAAATTAAATGACTTGAATAGCAAATGAGTAGCAAGGATTAAAAATTAAATAAAGTATCTTGAATGGAAAAAGTAGAAATAAAAACAAAAAGATTAAAAACATCGAATTTTGAAAACTGAGGAAATTAATGTCATAGATTAATGAACTAGTAGGTAGATTTTTGAAAATATGAAAGGCTTTAAGAAATCTAATCACCATGTGAAGAAATTCTTTGAATAATTTTAACAGAATTAAAGTCAAGATCTAGGTTCTTTTTCGAACATAGAATTCATGTTCTTAAAAATTGTAACATTGTGATTGGCATAAGATTCAAAAAGAGTTAAAATGTAAAACTGGAATTTTTAAGAACTGAGCAGCAATTTTTATTAGTTATTATTTGAAAGTTGAATTTGCGGAATATTTGAGCAGTTTTGTTGGAAAAAATGGGATTACAAAATTATTGTGATTAATTTTTAATTATAGGACATTATTATGATGGAAAGAAAAGTTTTTAGTAGGCTTTAACAAAAACAGAAAGAGAAAAAGCTCTCAGTTGCAAAAAATTTCAAATAATTTAATTTCTGAGTAAGATTGTGAGGAACAAACCTTGAAAGCACAATAAATAAAATTTAATCCCCCCCCCTTTTTTTTTTTCTGAAAGGTAAGATTTGGCATAGGGAAGGAGGATATATGTTATTATACGTTTCATTTTAACAATGCTAAAATCAGATTTATTATGGATATTTGGAAAATCGTAAAAAAGGAGTTGATTTAATTTGAAGTGCAAGCTGAATGCTGGGATCAAGGGAGTTCATTAAAGGGAAATATTCATTAAACTCTCTTTATTAGCATCATAAAGTGTGAAAATGTTATTAACATAAGAAATACATAATGGAAAAGTTTTTTTTAAAGTGATTTAACCTCAAAAATAGTACACATAAATACTAGGCTAAAATGATAAATAGACAGTATGTTTTTCTTTTCTGCTTATTGAGTACAATTTTTTTAATATACTTAAATGCATCTTAATCATTTTTAACTAAAATGTAAATTTTTCTGTAGATGAACATAAAGTAACTATTGCAATATGCAAATTTTAGAATGGAAAATAGTCAGAATTTAGAACAAAATAATTATGAAAAATAAATTTAAATTTGTAGACAATTTCAATTTGTAGAAATTGGTAGAATTTATTGATTTCTCTTGACGTAAGGTTGGTTTATTTAATTATAGCAAACACATGAGGTCTATCTCTGTAAGGGGAGGGATACCTTTGTGGAGGACTTTTAAGGCAAACTGGCTCATGTACACGCTACACTTGATGTAAGGAGATGAAACAATAGTACTGAAAAGTTAAACTGCTCTAAGATGAAAGAAATTATGGAATTTATGTGAACTGAAATTATAGAGGAGAATATTATTAAAAATGTCTTTATTTTTAAATCCTTTATTATATATTATTTTTTATTTACTTACTTTTGGCTTTTAGGGTAATAATTTCATGGTTTATTTTATGCGTTTTGTTATACGTTTCATGCATAAGCGTTTAATAGCTTGAATAGAATTGTATATCTTTTGAGTCTGAATGCAACGAAGTTTAAATTGTTATAATTCAACTGCAACATGAGATAACGGCAAAACCTCCTTTCAGGTTTTGGCAACAATTTTTGTCATGAAATGGGTGACACATGGGGATTTCATACCAACTTGGTAACTTACTGGAACTTTCGGGAAAACTTTTCTGTGAAGCTCCTGAAAGAGCAATTGCCCTTGAAGCTTCCAAATACCCATGTAGCACCATATTAATGTGACTCCCAGATCTGGGTTATATGTCAGTTGTTAGTTAGTTGAGTGCTTCAGAGAGACTGCTTTTAAAAATGTTAGCTAAATAGCGTTTTAATAGTTTACTCTGTGAGCAATATCAGTAATTTATGATATTTCTGATGTGCTATGGAAGATTTGCCTTTGCTCTTTAAGTTATTTATAGATATTTATTTTTCTGTGTGCAGTTAATTGTCAATTCTTTGTGTTCATCATTATTTAAAGAAACAACCATGAGCTTCTAGCTTGCAGCAGCATTCTGAACAAATGCTATAAACTTGTAAAAAACATCTTTTTAAAATGAGACTTGTAGCTTACAGTGAAAAGAAAATATTGAGGGGGAGATCTTATCTTTAATATGCTCCTTTTCCTTTTAATAAGTAAACCAGTAATTTAGAATTTAAGGAGATAGATGACTAAAATATGATTTTAAAAATATTTAAAATTCTGATTTCTCATGCTAAATGTTTAAAATCATGATTTTTTTTCCCCCAGACTTCCGATCTAGCATATCACACAAGGATTCAGTTTCAGATTTGGTAATTTTTTTTTTGTTTTAATTTCATAGATGAATGAATATATGTGTCTGTCTAGTAATTTTATAAGAACTTTATTAAATGAAAAAAATTCAGAAAACTGAAATTATTGAGATGCTTTTTTTTAATGAATGTTAGTTTTGTTTCCTGTAATTTTAAGTAGTGGTATTATATGTAAGCAATAAAAACCATTTAATGGTTTTTGTTGTATAAAATTTTAAAAAGTTTAAAAGTATTGCATTAAAATATGCCATCATAAAATGTTTATGGTATGATACTTTTGTATTTTACATAATCCATTATTAGTCCAAAGGGGCTTTGTCCCTGAAGAACTATTGTTTTCGCTTTGCGATTTTGCAATGAAAACTTTAAAATGCTGTATCATTTTTCAAATCATTGCCGCCCAATACTCTTGCCTTGTATTATATTTGAAGAAATTAAATAATGAAGAATCTGCATAAATGTATGTATGTGTTCTCGCATTGTGATAAAACAATGGTATCTAGAGCTATCCAATTTTGAATGACTTAATCCTACTGCGAATATGGGCATCTGAACGCCCAAATTTGAAATTTGTTTTATTATCGATTTCTTATTTTATAAATCGTTAAAAATTTTTTTATTAACAACTTAACATAACATAACAATGGTGGCGCTTCCTTCTTAAAAAAAGAAGGAAAAGAGCTTAGGCAATGTTGCCCATTGCTCTACCGCCATTTGAACATTTAAAACAAAGATTTTAAATGGTTATTCCCTTGCAAGGTAAATAGTAAATAAGTAGATAAGATCCCAAATTGCCACAAAATATATAGTATTAGTAAAAGATCCCATCTCTAAATTCAGGGGCTCGGTTAAAACGTAAAGACATCCCAACTGGATGAAGAGCCGATTCAATCCCTTCCAAACCACCAAACGCAAACTCTTAACCAAGCAAAGGTGCGATGGTGAGTCTGAAAAATAAATAAGGAGAGCAGAGGTACTTCCTCAAGCCAAGTCGTCAGGTGGTGTATATAGATTTGATATCTATATTTATATTCCAAAACACAGCTGTGAGAGGGAATTCCCTGCATAGTTCCTTTTAGTCCCCCCCCCAAAAAAAGGGGGACTCACAGGGCATCTTATTGCTTGTTTCTTGTGGTTTCAAGTTCACCTTACCTGTAGGTGTTTAGTATACACTAGGAACCCCATTATGCCAGACAGCCCTTTGTATAGTAGGGCTTGATCGAAGCTGATGTAGGGAAACCCAAGGAATTTGTTTCCATGGACAGAAAATACCGGACATTGTCCCAGGAAGTGAATAGTTGTTTCCTCTTCTCCACAAGCTGGGCAGAGAGGAGATTCGACAAGACCACATTTGTGGAGATGCTTGGCCAGATAAGCACGTCCGGTAACAATTTGAATTACCTGGCGTAAATTATTTCTACTGAGGTGTATGAGTTTACTTGATAAGTTAAGTGTACCGAGCACCAATTTAGAGTGAGCACAGTCTGGTAGTTTAGACCATAGGTCATCATTATAGCTTCAATATATCATTCACAGACCTGCTTCTTACTTCTTTTTTAACAGTTTGATATGAAACTGGGTAAAATGGTTCTGGGCCAGACATGAATAGTTGCGAAGCATCTTTAGCTACTTTATCGGCTAGTTCATTTCCAACAAAATCACAATGACTTTGATTAACAAACTCAACAATTTAAAAGCGAGCAATGGCAGCATTCTATAGGGAGACCTTTTTGTCTCCAGCATGCGAAACTGTATATTGGAAATTCTAAAGATATGCTCATTTTAAAATTATTTTGCAACATTGCTGTTGAACTGAATTTTATGGTTTAAGTGCAAAGAACATGATATTTAATAAATAAAGGTAACACACAAAATGTTAAATAAAAGCTCCTTTGGACGTAATTTAAAATCTGAAACTTTTTCTTTTTTCTTTTTTTTTTTACTTAATAATTTATAATTAAAATGCATAGTCAGCTATTGCTATGAAATTTATTTTACTGAGGGTAGTGCATTTATTATTTAGTTACCTGTAAGATGTCTTATTTCTGTATGCATGGCTGAAAGCCTGTATTCTTTAGCCATTAGGGGGAGGGGTGTATAAAAGTGCTAATAATAATTATAGTTTATTATTTACTAGTGTTTGTTCAAAGAATTTTTTAATAGATATTTTAAACTTGAAACTGCTGTTGTATTCTTAAATTATTACAGTATTCATATTTTGGGCTAGTTTCATTTATGGTACATTGATAAATCTATCATATCATTTTATATCGATAGCATAATTAAGAGTAAAAAGGATTGTTAAATGGGAGAATATGTTATGTATATGTGTGTGTGTGTACATATAATTACTTCTAGATTCTCAGAAGGTAAGTGATTAAATATTTATTTTGTTGTTTTTGATAATAACATGTTTTAAAAACATTATTTGAAATTTGCATATTAGATTATGAAAGATTTTTTATTAAAATATGTAAGATTTTGAACTGAAGCATAGCGCGTAAATTGAATTAGAAATAAATGCAGAATAATATTAAGGACATTAATTAGAATTCATATAAAATGTTCAGAAAATGTTTATAGTATAAAATTCTGTATGAGTTATATGAGTTTTAAGTTAATTTCTTAAATTTAAAAATAGTTTTTTGAGAAAATTAAAAATGTTTATAATTGGTTGCCATTAAGCTGAAACAAAAATTTGCAGCATCCTGAAAATTTATAAATATATAGAAAACTCAGTACTCCGATACCTTAATTAAAGTGAAAAAAAATATTACTAGGTATTTATGGAGTATTCTTGGAAAGTTCTGTATTTTTTTATGTTAAATACAAATGAAGCAGTACAAAAACATAAGAAAATTTCATTGAATCACATAAGCGCAATTTTGTTCTGTTATTCTTGCAGCTCTCTGGCAGTTGGAAAATTCCTTTTTTAAAGAAGTCATTAGGTTTATTCATAAAGAAGTTATTGATATGTTGTTTTAGTCTCCAAAGAAGTGAACCAAAGAGAAGAAAATTCAAGGGGGTAATGCCTGATGAATATGCGAATGGTGAGGCACAAATATCACAGCTATGCCAAATAAGTTTTGTAAAATAAATATTCTTCAAGATGTGTGGCTGAGCATTGTTGTCAAGGAAGACTACGCCTCTATGTTTGGTCAGTTCTGGACACTTTGCTTTGATTTCTGCATTTAAAACTGCCATTTGGGAGCAGTAGTTTTTCAAATTTGTCTGATTTGGGGGCAATAATTCATGACATACCTTTGTATACTGCGTAATATATTTTTGTAGTTCCTCCATATACAAAGCACTATTTTTTAATGCAGCCCCCTTTTGATATTACTAAAAGAATCATGATTTTTTTCTTGTAGCATTACTGTATAAAAAAAGGGGGGAAGCTTCTTCTTCCTCCTAGTAAAGTATGTGCCATTCATTCATCATAGCAGTTTACATACATTATCTTTTTCAAATAATGTTTCCAAAAAGTATATTTACTGTAATTTTTGGAATGTTTAATTTGCCTGTATAATGTAGATTTCCAGCTAGTCCTCATTTACAGACAATGGTTGTTCATGGTGGCCATCATCTTAAAGGCTAAAATTTCTGCACTGAAACCACCTTTGATTTGTTAATGTCATCAGAAACAACTCTATGTCCACATATAGATAAAACTTACGAGCTGTCTGGGTAGCGTTTTCCCTTTTTGTTAAATGAAGGAGCTTTTGGCGAAAAGGAACTTTTCAGCTCTTCATTCTTAGTCCTACACTGAAAAAACAATTATGCCACAGCACATGCTAATCATTCTCCATTATCAGAATATATTTAAACAACTACATCGATCAAGGTCTTTGCTTATCAGCAGTAATAAATTAATTAGAAGAAAACATGCTTCAATTTGAAAAGTGCAGAACTTTCAGATGGCCCAATATAACGATAAAACATTAGTTTCATACTTTTTAAAATTTGGAAGAACATCATTAATCCAAAATTTATAGTATGTTCTAAATTATTTTTAAAATTTTAAATCTTAATTTCAAGAGTACAAGACAATTCTCCTGATCAGTAAGTAAACAAAATTTTTAAAAAAATACCAGTAACTTTATTTTAAAGTATATAATATATGGCATTAGAAGGGTTTTTCTTAGTTGCAGTAATGCTGTAAGGGCACAAAAAGTATATTCTCAGAATTCATTTAATTTTATATCAATATTTTATATAAAAAAATACTAAATAAAAATTCATTCAGTACTAAATAAAAATGATTTCCCTCATGAAGTGAAATATTTTTATGGTCTTGTACTTTTATTCACAAGCAAATAATAAGCACGAGCATGTTTGTTAGGTAATACCCATCTGGTGGTATTAATTAAAAAATAAAATATACCTTTGAAAGTTTCCATAGAACTATGCAAGTTAATATAGTTTTAAGAATGTAGATTCAGTTTGACATTTATTTATTTTTAGTTTATTTATACTAAGTGTTGCAATTAATATCCCTAAAATAAATACTGAAGGCGGTGACTAATATGCTTAAAATTAAATCATAATCTATTACATACTCAGAAGAGGATTGTTAATTACAGTCAGTCTTATTTGATACTTTTGATTTATACTTGAATGAAATAATCAATTAAAGTATTTTTTAAATAGGATGATGATGGTGATGATCTTTTTAGTGCAGTTAAAACAACTGTTTTACCAAAGGTAGAAAAAGATGAAGATCCTGATGATATATTTGCAGACGATTCTGATATATTTGCTGATATACAAAAAGAAAAATATGAAATGTTTCCCACATTATTATGTGATGAAGAAGGTATTTGATACATTTTATATACGTAAAAATATTTAATTTTTACTGTGTGTTCAATGGCCGTTAATCAAATGGCGCCGGAGTGAGAAGTTACGTTTTGAAATAACTTTAATAAATTCAACTACATCCAGTTTATACAAATCAAACTGTAAACATATAATAATAAAACATTCACATGTAAGTAATAATTCAGCAATACAGATAAGCTTTCAAATAAGAATTGTAACAGTTATAGGTCAGCTACGTTTTTGCGACTGAATTCTATGAACGACAAAACTCAAAAGCACATTGCCAACGCAGGGCAATGAAAAGTGGAGATTAATTCGATAGGCATGGAAGTGAACACTGTGTATCTATGAAAATTAAAAATATATAATCTTATTTGTGAACTAATTAATTTATTATAATTTGAAAATGCAATGTTCATGTATTATTTCATAATTAATAAATAATATAAATTTTAATGAATTATAGTTTTCTGGAGTGGAGGTTTTCTAAAATTCCGGAATTTTTAAACAGTTAGTCAATATACTATAGTTGTGTCAATATACTATAGAAATACTATAGTTGTGTCATAAAATGGCAGGTAAAAATCAGTATAAGTTACTTCAGAAGCAATCAGTTTCCCTATATCCAGAAATCAAAATTATAAAAATAAGATGTGATTTTGTTATTAAAATCATTGATTTTCTTTCAGCTTTCAATACCAGTAAGCATATATTGCTGAAAGAAAACAATATATTTAATAACTAATGAAAATAACTATCCTCATGCATATGCATAATGTTCCTTCTAATTACAGTTATTATAATACTGAGTAAAATGTTAGTGTAGTTGCTTATGAACATTTTTTTTTCAAAGTAATTATGCCTAAATTTATTCAATGATCATACCTCTTTACTGGAAGATATAACATGAAATTTACTTTTGCTGTAATATTTGTTTTATTAACGTACTTAATATTAAATTGTTTAAAACTAGCAATAAAATTTACTTTCATATTTGCTTTTGCTGCATGGTGGTATTTTTTATGAAACATTTTCATTAATCATTCATATGGAAATTACCAACTGGAAAGTGAAACTGTACCTTAAGTAGGGATTTTTGGCAACTTATAACCAGGTATTTTATGACTAGAGATAGTACTTTTTTCATGAAAAACTGCAGATTGCTTGTGAATTCCAATTAGAATTTCTACAAAAATGTATTCATCTGTTTATAATTTTATGACAGTCATTTTTTTAATATTTTATATTAATTACTAGATAGCATGGATTCATTTATAAATCATGATTATTTTTTGTAAACCTATGTAGGATGATATAAAAATAGGTTTATGTTTTATTTTAAAAGGGTTTTTGCAAGCATTACTTTTTACTCTTTTCTTATTCTTTTAATTACTTGTATTTAAGGTTATTGATTTTTTAAAATTTCTATTTATTTTATCATTAAAGCATTATAAAATGTGAACCTATTTGTGAATCATTGTCACTGAGAAGTTTATTATTTCACATTAAATTTTTTTAATAAAATTTACAGCCTGTTGCATTCTGTTGTAAATAGCACTGTCTTAGCATTTTGAATTCGTAGAATACTAACTTGGAATTCTCAAATATTGTGCATTTTTGGCTTGAGTTTAAATTATGTAAAATAAGCGTTATTTATTGTGATTAATGATAATAAATAAAATTCTTTTATGTAATTTAAACTTGCTGAAGCAAAAGTGCTCAGTATTCGAGAATTCTAAATAAGTATTCTTTTAACAAAAATCAAATATTATTGTATGTTCATGAACAGGAAAACTATGTTTTATAAAAAATTTTAACTGCATTTAAGTTACTGTCTCTAATTGTAACTAAAGAGAACTGATGTAGAAAGTAGTTGAACAATGTTGTGAAAGTATTGCACATTAGTAAAGAATTTAACTATTCTTTAAAAAATTCATATTGGCTCTTATGTGTCCCCCCCCTCTATGGACAGTGATCTCAAATTTGGAAACTGAGACTTCTAAACATGTTGACACATTGTTTAATTTGAAATCAATTTTCGATTGATTTATATGTTTTTATAGCTTTATGTGCTAACTCATTCAAATGTATTACTTTAAAAAAATAATTAAAGAGTGCAAAAAGGAGGAAATAGTAGTTATAAGAATCTACATGCTTCTGTGTTATTTTTGAAGAAAATAGTAAACATTAGCAAAACATAATAGAATATACCTTGAACATAACTAAGTATTGGTAACTTGTAACATAACTAAGTATTGGTAAAATTTTCTAATGATTCTTAATAATAATATTTACTTAACAGCATTTTTAGTTCCATCTAATTTATTTCATTTACACAGACCAGACTGTTTCTTACTTCTTAATTTATATTTTATTTATATTTCATTTTTTAAAGTTACATTTACAAATTTGTAATACTGAATAAATGTATTGTTTTATTGGGAGCCTGAATTAATTCTCACTGTTGACAAAGAGAAGGCAGAAGTTTTACTAGTGCAGCATAGCAGACAGTGACCCGAGACATATTTAACACTGGAAACATCACTTTTTACAAAAAACATTTGTGGGAAGCATTATTCTTCTGCTTTTATATCAAGGATCTGCTGTGGGAAAAGTCATCATTTGCTATTGGAAACGTATGGAGAACATGCTATGTTAGAAACGGCATGCAGAGATTGGTTTCGAAGATTCAAAGACAATGATTTTGAGGTGAGGGACAAAATGCTGAAAAAGTTTGACAATGGACAGTTAAAGACAATACTAGTAGAAGATTTCTTTCAGATGCTTATACAGTTATCTGAAATACTAAATGCGAACATGCCAACTGTTAGTAAGCATTTAAAAGCAATGGGAATGATTCAGAAACTGGGACATGGGTATCACATGAATTGACAGAAAAAGACATTGCAAAATGCTTAACCGTTTGTGAAATGTTGCTTTAAAGACAAAACGGGTCATTTTTGCATCACATAATAACTTGCAATGAAAAGTGGATTCATTATGACAGTCAAAAGTGCAAGAAGTCATGGGCATGTCACAATGAACCATCAGCATTAACATAACAACCGGATATTCATGGCAAGATGATTACACTCTACATTTGGTGGGATCAAGTTGATATGGTGTACCATGAGCTACTGCCACTGGACAAACTCTGAATGATGAATGCTATGGCTCAATTACTCAATTTGAATTGCACATTTAAAACAACTGCCCACAATATGCTCAGAGACATGACAATGCCAAACCACATGTTGCAAACTGAATGAAGGGAATTAAATAGGATGTCTTATCCCACCCACCATATTCAACAGACATTGCCCATTCCAATTACCATTTATTTCAGTCCATGTAGCATGGCCTTTCTGATCATCTTTTAATGTTCTCAAAAACCGGTCAAATGGCTCATCTCAAAAGAACCTGAATTTTGTTTTTATCAAGGAATTTATTTGTTACTCAAAAAGTGGGAAAAGGCTGTAGCTGCCAAAGGGCACTACTTTCAGTAAATTATCTCATACCTTTCTATTAAAATAAATATGTGTTTCCTGTTCAAGAAACAGCAAGAATGAATTTGAGTACCCACTATCAGTTAAATTACCTAAATAAAGCTTTTAGCTTGGCCTCATTAAAAGTAATTCTAGAATATTAAATTATTTTATATATTAATATATTAAAATGTAAATTATGAAATAATTTAATATTAAATTGCAAATATTTTTAAAGAGTCAATCTAAAGTAAAAAAGGATGTTTCCATATATACTATGTTTTATTTGTAAAATCTTAAATCTTCTTAATTAATATCCAGCATGAAAAAAATTTAGAAGTTTTACTGTACTAAAGTTTTGAACTACATAAAGTATTCTAATTAATAACAGTCAGCATTCGTTATAAATGAACAATAACTGTTCTAAAAATAGATTTAATATATTATTATCATTTGATCTTCTGGCATTGGTCATTGTAATGGAATAGTTATTATAGTACGGTGTGTGATGTACACATGAATTCTACAGGGATATAAGTGAGGAATATAAAAGTTTTTGTTACTTAAGACATAAAAAGGGACTTGGAATTTTCTGATTATTTACACCCCTCTCAAAATCATTCAGGGTTCATACACATTTCTGCACACGGAAATTAAGTACATTTAAGGACCATTAATGAAAAAAAATTAAGGACCTATGAGCAAATGGAAACTGAATAAATTCAATTGAAAGATATTATCTATGCCTGAATTTCACTTTGTAATAGCATCCTAAAAATAAAATAGATCCCTAAGTAGTACACATTATTACTAAACATGAATTAATTAACATAATTGTTAATAAGTTTGAGAATAAAATAAACTTTATGCAATTTATCAAGTAGCATTAAATATTTTACACTTATAATAGTTGGTCATATTTGAAAGAAGATAAGTGACATTTATGTTTTAATAACAGTTAGCTATATGTTGATTTTTTTATGTCTCATTTTGTCACATACTTAGTCAGTCTAGAGGTTTAGTAAATAGTTAATAAGCATATGTCAAACTGCATAGGTTAAAATGAGAAGTATGATCATAATCAGCATGACTCATAACCAAAAGAATGAATATTGTCACCACTACTGCTTCTTTAGAGAGAGACTTGCAGATTAGAACAAACCTGAAAGGCCTGATGTAGGCAAGGTTGGCAAGTGTTGAAAGTTAGTCAGGCTCTGTTTGATGCAGTTAGTGTCATAGCTTCGTGTACGGTTCCAGGGGTTGTAACCCAGTTAATATACTTTAAGGTTCCAATAAGCCATTAAAGCACCAGAAGTGATAAGTTGCTTTGTATTATTTTAAGGCTCAGTAGATACATAGAATATGTTTTACTTGAATTTTTACATTTTTATATTTTATCTTGTGACCACAGTGAGTATTAATGAAAGGCAATAACTCACTTTAATATGTAGAGATAATTTTTAAGGGTAAGCAGTTGGTTATAAATAATTAAATTAGGTAGGTAACCTTCATCATTATGGATATACATGGACTGCTATTAAATTTTAAATTTATTTTTTTAACAATATTTGTTAAAAAGGCCCTTTTAAAATCAAAATCTAATAAGTTTTCACAAGTTTAAAATACATGTAATTTATGACACATTGATTGCTTAAAACGATATTAAGACATTACACATTAAAAGATACAAAACCATATACTTATAACAGTATACAAAACTACATTAATAACATATTACAACAAGCTACAAACATAACAAATGTTTTGTAGCAACAACCTTCAACAAAATACTTATCCGTCCATTTTAAATTTGAAGCCTGTCCCAGACATTTTGGCTAAGTTTATATCGATTTCCTTCCTTTTAAGCATGTTTTCTAACAATTCAAGAGATTTGGTCTCAATACGCAAACCAACTTGCTCCTCGCTAGTTTCTGCGTGCTTTATCTCCTAAGTTGTCAACCTCTCCACAATGTACCTATGAGGGTTTAATTGATGTGGTAAAAAATAAATAGTCCAAAACCCCCCAACAGATGTGAAACAATAATTCAGTTCCTTTCTTCAAATGTTTCCTTTTTATTTTAGAATTTTTGGATTTAATTAAGGATTTCTGTTATTCTAAAAAATACTAAAGCATTTCGAATGTACAGAAAAAGTGGCTAATTTTATTTCTTTAGTAATATGAACATTCAGAAGCAATATGAAATATATATAGTATATATATTTAAAGTAATAATAGGTTACATTTATTTAAAGTAATAATAGGTTAAAGGCCGGTTACAGAGCTGATGTGGCAGAATTTCTAGAATTTAGTGACACACCGAACAACAAAATCTAGAAATGGCAAAACTTTTAGAATTTAGAGCAAGCGTTGGAAGCAGAATTTAGGATCCACAGAGATTGTGTCAGGTGGGAAAATGCCTAGCGCCAGCTATGTGTATGATGCATTAAGAAATATTAGATTAATCTTTTAAATTGTAACTTTTCAATTTCTTTATTAATAAAAAAATCCCTTTCTATAATGCCTGCCCATGTGATAAGATCAGAGGCATTTTTGATATTTTCCATGCTTCTGTCTAGTGAAAAATAGAGAAAATAAAGAGAAGACAAACATGTTAAGATTCTAGTATCAGAAGTAAAACATTAAAATATTATGTTTTCATTGTTCTTCCAAATGTTCTCCAAAAATTAATAAATTCATTGCAAACTTTCTATAAAATGCATGCATTACGTGTTGATACCATGGAGACATTTTTCATTTTGTCACATATTTCTCGAGTCTTCTAGAATCGTGGGCCTATAAATCTTGCCTTCAAATCCTTCTAAACTTTCCAAGCTGCAGTGTCTAAAATCCTAAAGAAAAATTATCCCTACCATTTCTGTAACAGCAAAAAGCCAGAAATATTTTGGAAAAAAATAAGAGGGAAAAAGTATAAAATTAATTTTATAGAAAAAACTGATGCACATTCTGAGAATTTTTAATATTCTGAGACAATTACATGGGAAAAACTCTTATTATGAAAAAATTAAAAACAAGACATTTATAGCATTATACTTTGTTTATTTTTCAGATTTGAAATATTGTATAATAAGTTGCTAAAATAAAACTTTATTAATATGACAGCAAAAAATAAAAATGTTTTATTTTAATGTTATTTTTTAAATATAATTTCAAAATATTTCCATTATTTTAATGAAATTTATCAATGTTACGATGTTTTAAAAAAATCGTCGAAAAATTCTCAGATCTCGAAATTAAAAAGCTTCTATAGAAACTAATCTTAAAATAGCCAACATGTTGAAAAGTCGCCAAATTTAGAACCGTTTAATAATCCCCAAAAGCAAAAAGTTGTCTATGAGCTCTTTACTAGAAAAAATGAATTTCGAAATTCTTAAAAACTCGAGTATCCCATCATTTTTATTAGAAAGAGAAACAAATTATAACTAATGAACCCATTCAAAAGATAACCATATATACGGCAGGGAATCGCCAAAAAATATTCCTCAAAATGCTAATTCACACTCAAAATGACAGTCATAAAAACAAACAGAAATTTCAGAAGATTAAAATTTAGGACCTTCTGCTGATTTTGGCCGAAATTAAAGACTTTTAAAGACCAAAAATCGATTTAAAAAAATCTAAGGATTTTTAAGGACCGTACGAACTCTGTCATTGGTCACTAATTTGTTTCCCAAGCTATTACATGAAAGGCAACAGCAATTTTGAAAATAATGGCACATTAAAAATTTGTTAACAGTGCTATGAATCAATGAAACATAAAAAGCAAGAAATGTTCATAACAAAACACTTACCTTCCTGAAGAAAAATCCTTGTGTCATTTTTTTACACTATGGTTCTTCCCGTGTACTTGGCAATCTGTTTGCACTTTAAAAAATATACAGTCACAAGTCGTTAATCCGGACTCGTCGGGACTTCGGCGATTCCGGATTATCGATTTTTCCGGATTATAGATCATCAGTTTAAATCTCATAAGATGGCATGCAGAAATTCTAAAATTAAAAATATGAAACCGTAATTTATGAAATAAAGAACAATTATGATCTAAAGGGTATCAAAAAATTAGGGCAAAAAAAAAGCTTAATATTTATGTTTACTTTATTAAACATTTCTTTCAATGTAAGTTGTTTAAGTTTTGCTTCGTTTCATGTGATAATACTTTCTCTTTAATTCTATTAAACAGACATAATTTCTTGTTCAGTTACAAAGTTCCGCTGTTTAAGTCCAATAATTGCTGTGTCAAGAACACCGACTAATTTGTCAATCGAAACTTTTTCGTTTTCAATAACCTCTGTCACTTTTCTTTGCTATCGGAAGTGAATTATAATGACAAGGAACTTGTTTTAAATCATATCAAAGACGGAGCATATCGAGATGAAATACTGCATTTGGTAAGGAATTATAAGCCAGGGCGTTCCCCCCGCCGAGCAGCGTGAAATTGATAAACAGATTTTGGATTTCAAAACATACTTTCGCTTAGATCCTTTACATATTAACAAATATATATCGGAAATTCTATTTGATATAATCGAAAGTTTAAGCTTACTTTTTAAAATTGCTCTTACAGTCTGCAAAAAAATAATAAGCCGGATCCAATTCGAAAATTAAGGAAACAATGCAATCATCAACATTAACTGAAATAGATAATTAGATAATTTTAGCTTATACGTCCATTATACATAAAACGCGCACGCAAAAACGTATTCTGCACTTGCGCACACTCATATGTGCAGTCGTAAAAGGTCTTACGTGCACGCGTAAACGCCTATGCGCATGTGTCAACGCGGTGCATGCGCAGAAAGTTTTTAGTTTTGAGGTCCGGATTATAGATCATTTTGAATTAACGACTTTTGACTGTATTAGAGAATTACACAAATTTAGTATTGCAAATGCCGTGTTGTTTTCCCATGTAAACAGCAATCTGTTTTCACTTAAAAAAATCATAGAATTCCATAAATTTTGATTTATACAATTCAGTTGTTTATAGAGAGTAATTTCATCGAGTGCCAACTTCTGTATTCACAACAGCTGGGCAGCATATTTCTGAAGAAAGGTAACACTTTTCTTTTCATCAGCCAGCAAACTCCACAGTCCAGTCCCATTAGAGTACCTTATTACCAAATTTAGAACTAGAAATCCACATTCATCTGCATACCTGGGTTACATGATGAATACTTTTCAGGGGTGGTGCAGATAACAAAGTACTGGGGAGTTTTCTACAGGTGAAGATAGAGGATAAACCCACATGAGTATAAAATTCAGGTAAATAATTCTTGTGTTTCAGGATAATAATGGTAATGTTGACTTAACAGTGTCATGGGAAACAAATTCATGAAGAATATATTGATGAGCATACAAGAGCTTTCATTGGCAGCCACTTTAAATCATATGTCAGCTTTTTCAAAGTCTGTATTTGAGTTTAAATACAAGTTCATTACCTTTCTTTTTTGGCACTACACAGATGTAAATGGAATGCAGATTTCTAATATAGTGAGTGTCAGATATATTGAATTAATTATTTAATCTCTTTTTGCATATATTAAGAATATTTTCTACCATCTCTACCGCCCGCATAGGAGATGTACTCCTAAGGTATATTTTTCATAGTTTATTTCTTATTTGGATTAAAGTATTCAGTTATTAATTTAACATTTTCAGATGATGATATTTTTGGAAACATGGATCAGCAAGATAGTGGGAAAACTACATCTGGTCCAAAAACCACAGCACCTATATCTTCTAAAAAAGAAGTAGAGAAGAAACAAGTAAATATTTTTGAAGATCCGTTAACAGGACTGCTGGGAGATGATTAAATTATTTCTTCATGAACTGTTTATCCACGGGACCAATGATGTAAATCTTCTTTTGTAAATTTTGATTGTAATAATGGTAAAAATATTTTGATTAGAAATTTGATGTAAATGTATAATTGTAAAAATTAAAAACAGAGCAGATCTACTATACTTATGTAAATTTGATGTATATATAGAGAGAAAGATTTAAAATATTAAATTGAGATTTTTCAAATGTTTTATTTATTTAGTTTTTTCTAATTTAGTAAATAGAATTCTAATTTAGCAAATCTCAAAGTCTCGCATGATTTATAAAATAGCTGAGACTATGGCAATTTAACATATGTGTGTATATATAAAAGAAAATATAAATGGTTAGATTATCTCCTATTAAATTTAGTTAGTCAAGAACTATTGTGGAAATAAAAATTTGTAATTTGTAAATGCTAAATAAATAAAATGTAAATTCAAACAATTAAAATCATTGTTGATTCTACTGAAAGATCCTGACTTTTCAAGTACTGGAATCCCTCTATACAATAAACAACCATTTAAAAGGATTGCTTTTCATCTTTTTCGCATTTCTAAACAAAATGCCCATTCCAATTTTAAATTTGCCAATCAATTTTATAAAATATGTGAATTTATATCTTAAATAGAAATGTGAAGAAAATGCCCCCTCCCCCAAAAAAAACTAGGGCAGTTCTCTATTAATGGCTTAATCTGATTAAGCCCAAATCATGATTAATGACAGCACTTAAAAAAGTGCACAAAAAAATAATCTACATCAACCAAAAATACTACTGGCAGTTAATCTATATTTTAAAGAAGTTTAATTTGAAGAATATTTGGTTTTGTCAATTAATAATCTATTAATTAAATCTACGTCAATTAATAATCTACATGAACCAAAAATACTACTGGCAGTTAATCTATTATTTAAAGAAGTTTAATTTTGAGAATATTTGGTTTTGTCAATTAAGCTTTCAAAACAAGAACATAGCTGTTCATTTATTTTTGCAATTTATTTTTAATGGATGATTTAATAATATTTATGTATTCCAAGTTATGTACAATAAATAATTATTAATACATATTGACATTTAATTCATAATCTTGAATATTCTGTAATACCAGCTGTGGGTACAAGTAACTTAGCTAGCTCAAATTTCAATGAAAATAAGATACTACATAACAATCACAATGAATTATCACTACAACAATTTCAAACCAAGCAAAGAGGCACAAAAATAAAATCACTTTAAATTTATTCTTTTCATCACTACGAGTCACCTGGACCTGGTTCAAACACAATCTGTTTCCACAATTGCTATAAATTCAACAATTTAAACTAACTTGACTAAAAGCTTGCCTAGCCTGTGACAGAGCTCAAACATACCACTTATCAAAATCTAATCAATCTTCAGTCTACAATATCCACATCAAGAACAGAATATTGTATAAAAAGTTGCTAAAATGAAACTTTATTAATATGACAGCAAAAAATAAAAATGTTTTATTTTGTTATTTTTTAAATATAATTTCAAAATATTTCCATTATTTTAATGAAATTTATCAATGTTACGATGTTTTAAAAAAATCGTCAACAATTTTTCAGATCTCAGAATTAGTATCCCATCATTTATATTAGAAATAGAAACAAATTATAGCCCATGAAAGCCATTCAAAAGATAACCATATATGTCAGTGAATCGCCAAAAATATTCCTCCAAAATTCTAATTCACACTTAAAATGGTAGTCATAAAAACAGACAGAAATTTCAGATGACTAAAATTAAGGACCTTCTGCTGATTTTGGCCAAAATTAAGGACTTTTAAGGACCAAAAATAGATTCCAAAAAATTTAAGGACCGTACGAACCCTGGATTTTAAAAGGCCCACTAGTCAAACGAAGAAGTGAAGCTTCAATTCGACACAGTTGAGTAGAATCATCCTGACTCTATGCGGTTTGCAAATTTGAACGAATCATCCTGATTCAATGAAGTTTTGACAGCACCTTCGTGATTCTGTGCAGTTTAGAAATCATCAAGTTCTGATGTTGATCTACATAAGTTGACAGAACCAAAATCATCCTGATTTTCACGTCGCATGAATCATAGTGATTCCAGTTTCTTCGTTTAATCTAAGTGAAATTTCAGAGAACCGCCACGGTTCTGCACGAGTTTTCTTCATCAAAAATCATCCTGATTTTTGTGTTGTAATCATACCAATTCAAGTTTCTTCATTTGATCTAGATGATATTTTGGAGAACCGCTACGGTTCTGCACAACTAGTTTTCTTGCTCAAAAATCATCCTGATTTTTATCTTATAACGTTAAAGTTCTATGTTGTGAAGGAAGAGTCAGCACGTCCTACAGAAGTTGATCACATAAATTCTGTGTTTGTGGGAATCTTAAGATTCCGAAGATCATATAAAATAGATATAATGTCAGTGAATCTTCATCTAACAAGTCATCAAACAGGTTAAGAACCTTGATTTTTACATCAGTGCAGTGACTTATCCTAAGTAGTTAATTTTGTTAAAAGTTGATACATTGTCTTCCTTGCTATGCATTTTAACTCGTATGTATGTGTATGTTATGATGTTAGCTCATAATGATTTCTCATAACAATTTGCATAACTGTTGAAATAATAAGGTAGAAATTAAGTAGCATAGAAAATGAGTCTTTTTACTGTTGTTATTCGTTTGTCCTGTTTTAACATTTTTTAATGTAAGATCCAACAAAAATTAACTATGTTTAGAATTAAGGCCTCATTCAATTGAAACACCGATGATCGCAAAAACAGCGATCATTATAACCAGCATTTACGATCACTTTCGGAAAGGAGTGATTTTTCATATTCAATTGAAACACTTGCCTATCAGTCGAACTGGTAGGGGTTGCCAGAGATTATTTGATGCGCGAACCTGATTATCACGTGGTCGGAAGTTACGTTTTTTGAGAACTAACCAATGAAAACATTTCTCGTCTCTTAACTGTTTTGATAACTGGTAACCACATTTTTATTTACAAACATGGATCGGAGGAGAATGAATGCGATGAATGCTCACGAGCTTTCTATTTTATTAGATCTTATGGAAAGCCGCCCAGACTTAGTTAGCGGGAAATTGGGAGGCAGTTATCAGAATGTAGCTGCTATGAAAAAAGCATGGGATGAAGTAGCCTCCCAGTTAAATGTTTTGGGGTCAGGCATAATTCGCTCCGGACCAGAAATTAAAAAAAAAAAATGGATAGACTTAAAATATCGAACAAGCATCCGAGATAAATCAAGCTGCTACGCAGACAGGCGGAGGTCCCCCTTCCGCCCAAAAATTAAGCGAAGCGGAGTTAAAAATCCTGGCCCTCATTGGGAAGACATGTGTGGAAGGAGTTGGGGGGCAGGACTTTGATAGTATGCATATTCAGTTGAAGGTAAGCATATTTTATATTTGAAATGAAAGTAAAAAATTATATTAAATTTTAATACCATGTATGCTGAAACTCATTTACATTTACATTTCTACAGGAAGTACCAGTTCAGCCAAATACTTCTACATTAGGTATGTGCAAATTTTTTATGTGATCATTGCAATTTTCAGTATAAAAAAATTCGATTATTGAACTGTTCTGTAAAAAGAAATAAGTATGAAAAAGTCTTGTTACTTCTTATTTGCTGTTGTTTGATAAAAGTATATCTTCTAATAAATTTACTTGTAATCACTTCCAATACAGAACACTTGGTTTGAAATATTTTGCAGCATGTAATTTTAAAGTATTAACATTTTTAGGTAGGACTATTCTAGGGCTTTTGCATTTAACACAGAACAGTGTGTCTAATATAGCATTTATGCTGCACACGTAAATGTGATAAAGGATGCAAATAAAATTTTTAAATGAAATGTGGGTAATGTTGTAAATTTATAAAGTATTTTCTACCTCTATAAGATTAATACTCAGAATTATTTATTTACATGATTTTGGTATTTTATGCTATTATTGTATTGGGAAAATAATGTTGATATATACATGGCTAAACAATAAAAAAGTCTGCTTTCATACTAGAGCATACTGATCTGAATTTGTGCTGTTGTGTTGTATACAAATTAATAAACAAAATTTGCTGTTTAATTTTTATCCAAGTTTTTCAACAACTATATATATTCACAATTTTCAGATGAAATATTTAAAATTTTCAAGCAGTATGCCAATTTATGCCCACTCCTTCTGTTATTTATTCCGATTCACTTGCATTTTGTACTTTGTTTAGTGAAAATCTGTTTATATTTTAACATGAAAGCTAACAATGATGAACTTGTCATAAGATGAAAATGTATGCATATTGATCTTCACCAGAACATGGTCAAGTGAACCTTATATCTTTATCAAATCGGGTAATGCAAAAATTTATTGTATTCCTCCATGTATGTTCTTGTGGTGTTAATTGAAATAGTCGTTGATATAGCTTTATATAACAATACATATGTTGTTACAGTTGAAGCTATTCATACTCTGGTAGTTTTACTGTCAGTTGAAATGTTTTCATCTACACCAGCTTATTCATCTGTTATCTGTTCTGTTGTTATGCGGGGAAGATGTTCATTTCATGCTCTGCTACTTGTGACAATTATTTTATGTCAACGTATAGTCAAAATAACAGTTGATCTGAGCTTTGTGCCCGGTATGCCGCGCAGCTGAGGCATTCCACGGGAAGGCCGCTTTCATGGCCTGTCATGACCAATCTTGGTGCAGTAAGCAGTTATCCTTCAAGCAACGTAACTAACCACCACCAAAGAAATTTTAAAACAAACCTTTTTACTTAAAACTTGACAAATGTGCCATCTCAGAAGAGAAGAAAATTTAACTTTGATTTTTGGATAAACTGACGATATTTTTATGTAATGTCTTTAAGCATGTATATTAAATGAACTCATGGAATGATGTTATATTTTATGTGCAGTCTCGGATTGTTTATTGCATTAGAAATAGTTGGAGAGGAGGTAAAATATTTAGTTATATTACTGGATTCAAGAAAATCTCAGATTTTCCATGTTAAAACAAATTATATGTACTTAGTTGCTTTCTTTTGTTTTTATAGATCATAACAAGGAAAATGTTGAAAATCATTGTGTTTTTAATGGTAGGTATATTGCTTATTTTTAATGCAATAATAAAAAAATGGACATAGTTCTATCAACTGCATTTTCTTTTCTTAAATGAATACTAGGTTTTGAAGATCGATTTTAAATTAAGATAAGTAATCTTATTATATTTGTAGCAAATGTTTCACATTGTTTTATATTACTGATGCTAATTATTAGGAAATGTTTCGGAAATACTGTGTTAAAGTAAATTAAATTGAGCTTGAAATAAAAATTTTATGTCTGGAAATTTTAATTTCGTGTTTAGAAATAGAATATTTTGTGCAATAAAATATTTATAAATTTAAATCTTTTGTGATAAAGTATATGATATGATAGTATTTGTGATGATGAAATGCATACTTGATACATATTGTGCTCTTTTTTTTCCCTTCATAGAGGCAGGTTCTAATGAAGAAATTCATTTGGATACTCCAGGTAACAATTCTTATATCACAAATAAAAAATATGCCCTTGTTCCTTTTTAATATATTACGTAGCCAGATACAGTAAACTGATATGTACCTGTAACATTAACATTTGTAATTAAACTAAACAAAATTATAATTTTGCTTGAACACTCTTCCTTAATTTTTTCTGTAACTGATCATCAGAATAATTATGAAATAAGAATGTTAACTTAAATAGCCATTAGGTTACCTTTGTTCTTTGATGATATTTTTTTTAAAATCTTACAGTGATACTTAATTTTTCCCTTTTGTTAGACTTTTTTATAGTTTTTTAATCTATTATATAAATACCTAACATTCTGGATACTAAATAGCAAGTTGAATGCATGTATCCTTTTGTAAGATATATTTATTACTACATTCTTTTCACATTAATAAATGTGTGCGCTCCAATCTATCCATTAGTAGTTGGAATAACTGCCGATTAAGAGAGTATTTTTGTGTTTTATTATATATGCAAATGACATAGGCTATAAATCTAACTCCATTTTTAGTGATGACAAAGTAAAAAAAAATTGTTTTTTCAACACCAAGGGTTTCCCGCTTCAGAAAGAAGAGGAAATTACAAGAAGTGGAAACTGAAGAAAGAGATATTCAAGAACTAATTAGCATTCATCAGCAAACATTAAACGAACTAAAAGAGATTAAGCAAACATTGAAAATGTTTGTCATGTTGAAATGTATCAAAAATAGTGTTTCTTATGATGACTTATTAAATTTATGTTCAAAATAAAATTATTCCATTGCAATGTCATTTTTCTTAATTTACACTTAGTTAAGTTTTTTGGGGGGGATAGCTTAAGTAGGTTTATTAATTTTTCATTATTATTAATTAAAAATAAAATTATTCCATTTAAATGAACATTTTCTTAATTTATACTGAAAAATCATACTTGTTAATATAAGAAAAGTAAAAAAGCATATAAATTACTAGTTACAAAAAAGAGTACTACATTATGAAATGCTACAATTAAATCTATTTAATGAATGATAGAAAATTATGGTAAAATTCATATTTTACATAAATATTTGTTTTCTATTTTGGTATATGTGAATATTAAACGGTACTGTAATTTAAGAATCATTGCTAACTCTAGCTCTTGGAAAACAAACTTTATTTACATTTTAAAAATCCACTTAAACAAAATGAAATTGCAGAAAATATAGGCCACACAAGAGTTTAACTAATTAAAAACTATCGGCTCATATTTTCTGCAATTTCATCTCGAATAAGTGGAGCTTCTCGTCTCCAGTTATTACTGAAAGTATGATTGTTGTTATTATATGTAGTTTCTTCTTCTTCAAGTTCATAACTGTCCCACGGAATATTTCGTTGTATGCATATATTATGTAATACAGTGCATGCCAAGATTATTTTGCATGCTTTTGTTGGTGTATATAGGAGAACTCCACTACTCTCATGGAGGCAACGGAATCTTGACTTTAACAGGCCATTACAATGCTCCACTACAGCCCTCAGAGACCTGTGCTTTTGATTAAAAATTTGTTGAGCTTCTGTAGTAGGGTTTGAATATGGTGTTAAAAGCCATGGTTCCAGTGGATATCCACTGTCACCCAGAAGAAAGTTCCGTCTAGGTATTTGGCCGGACACAAAAAGTTCTCTAAGTGTACTATTTCTCCACATGAAGGAGTCGTGTGTGCTTCCAGGCCATCGTGCCACAACATTCAGAATTTCCATTTTGGCATCGCATACCTAAAAAAAAAAAAAAAAAAAAAAAAAAAAAAAAAAAAAAAAAAAAAAAGTTTTAATTGATACTATGGTTTAGTGTTTTTTTTTTTTTTTTTTAAATATTATTAAGATTCAATGAGACACACTATTTCCTGATTAAAAACTAAGGATGGGTACCTCTGGAAAATAGCATATTTCATACTGTTCCTTAAAAATCCCAAAACATATGTTACATTATACGAAATGCTAAACGTTAAACAGCATTCATGTTGAAATTCTGGAATAACTTGCTCCATTCTCTCATAGATATGATGAAATATTGTTGTATATTGCAATATTACTGAATAATATATATATATATAAACCTTTAGAGAAACATAGTGGAAAAGAAATGTTAAAACTGAATTCTATGGAAAATTTAAAGTTTACATTAACTTTTCTCAATATACTTTCATTTTTTTACCAACGAAATTATATTTGTTTGATGATGAGGGTACAGGAGTGCATACTCAAAACGCTGAATGACTCTGGTTCAATGTTTTGGTTCAAAGCTTAACAAAAATCAATAGAAAACCGCATGCCACCAGTTAGATTCATATATGAATGAAATTTTGAAGTGTCAGTTTCACAAAGAAGGTACATCTATTGTATTTCTGTAAATATGTTCTTTCATACCCTCTTAAGTTTCAGTTTGCACGATGACATATGTATTTGGCAATTGGCACATTCAGTCCAGTGAGAGAAAAAGTACGCATTAAAAAACATTTTGCATTTAAGACCATTTTTTATAGTAATACACAACTGGGTTAATTGCTTTCATATCAGAGAAACAATCTTCAAGAAAACAAAATATTTGATCTAATACTATCCTATTTATACAACTATATTATTTAATAAGATAGCACTCAATGACTATCAAAATGAAATAATTCACAATGAAGTGTATGTTTTTTAAGAATATCACTCAGGAACAGCTGATTATATGTATGACACTATAATGTGATAAAATGGTTTTTGTCAGCTTCTTTGTATAACTTTATGGTATCAGAAAATCACTTTATGGTATCAGAAAAATAATATAGATATATTAGGGACTTACCAGTTGAATATTCAGAGCAAATTTCCCTTTACGGCTGATAAAAACAAACCAGTCATCAACTGATGGTCTCTGTATATTTATTAATGTGCCGTCAATTGCCCCAATAACATTTGGAAATCCGTTTGTAAAGAAGTCACATTTTTTCTCGAAGCGTGCTTCTTCACTTAGTGGAAATTTCACATACTGTGGCAGTACTTCAGTTAATGCATTCACAACAGCCTCAAGATTTCTTGACACCGTCGACTGTGATGTTTGACTAAGAAAGTCATCGGCAATGACACTTTGAAATGAACCGGTGCCAAGCAGTCGAAGTGCTGATTAAACCTAACATAGAAAGTATCTTTTAAATAAAAGGTACAATCATACTCAGCAAGAAATACAAGCAAATAATTCAAATCGGAATAGAAATCTAAATTGTGTATGTGTGATTATGGCAAATCCTCGAGGGATATCTGCCTATAGGGAGGGATGCCTTTGTGCAGGACTTTCTAAGGGAAACTGGCTTGTATATACATTACACATGAGGAAAACCACAAACATCCCATGCAGCCAGCCCATTCGCGGGATTCGGACCTAACTACCAGTGTTCAGAGGCTTTGCCGCTGGTGGGCACAACAGAAATCTAAAAGTAAATCTAGTGTGAATTTTTTGTGTGCCCTTTTTCAGTGTCGATAAAGTAAGTTTTATGAATTATTAACTTGACAAAGATACAAATTCATTCTAAGAGAATGTACAACTTTTCTTAAGCACACTTTTGAAGTCTTCATCAAATAAATGACATATGATTTTAATGTTTTTTATTTAAATAATGAACAATAAAGAATGACTTTAAACATTTATGGAATTTGATATAGTTGTCTCTGCTGGTGTATAAGTGTATTATCTCTGCTGTTGTACAAGTGATGTATAATAAAGCATCTTACGATGAGTATCTGTAAAGTGACCAATATTTCTGAGAATATAAATAAGCATATGTATTTAACATCCCTTCTCTCAAATTACCACCTCCACAAAAACCAATATCACTTGGAATCAAAATTGGTTATATAACAGAGTTTCGCTATACTAAAAAAATTAGCCTAAATATGTATGTGAAATCAATATTTCGATACAGATGTTTTTTTAAAAAAAGTCCAAAACTACCAAAGAGAGAGAAATATATTACAGCTCATTAATACACATTAAAATTATGCCTTGTTATAGATATATATATATGTGTATGTGTATTGTATAGGTATGTTACTGTTTTATATAGATTATATATGTAAACAAAAAGTAATTATGTATATAAAAAAAGGAAAGTGGGACTATTTTAGATTCCCGCTCTTTGGCTGCAAAGATTTAATTAATAGTCAAATTAATGATATAAATGATAGGCAAGAAATACTCCTATGTAGAGGGCAAATTTAGCTAAAACTGGGAATTTCAATTTGAAATTAACACCAATTTCAATCAATTATGTAATTCAAGTACTAATTCCAAAAAGTACAAAAAAGGAAAATAAATAAATTGAAATGAATTTTTAAAAAAATACTGTAAAAGGAAAATAAACATGAAATGAAGAATGGAAGTAAAAAGAAAAATTACCAGTCATGCATTAACTCCTAGTAGTGGTAATGCAAATTCCATTAAAATACAAATGAACAATTGAAAAGTACTGAAACAAAGCCAACTCATAAGGCGGTAAGTATGCTCTTGCAAGTCCACAAAGAGTGTTAAAAATGTAGCTATAAGATGTTAAATTAGTTGTTTGGAAATGAAATTAACTTCAGACCTGAAATTCCTAGTTTTGGCTGAATTATCACTTTTCATAGAGTATTTACATTTCATTGATTATATATATATACCAATAATTTATAATAAGAATTATTATAGGAATAATTTAGAATATATATATATATATACACACAATGCATATTCATATTTAATGTTAAAAAATGCTGAATTCAGAATGCAATTCATAGATTAACTTCAATATTAAATATAAAGAACAGTTCTGAGGTGCATACTTTCTGGTTATACAAATGCAGATAAAAGATGTACATACTGAAACAATTATAGTACGAGTGACTAATACGTCCTAACAGAAGAAAACTTAGGAAAAATTTTTTTAATACACTACAAGTATTATAAAATGGATTTTTTAAAATTTTAAGCATTTCAGGTAACGTTCTTTATAACATTGCATGCAGTCTTCAAATCTGCGTTGCATTTCTTAACAGTAATATAAAAATTAATAATAAAATGGAAATTAATGAAGCAAACTAAGCAATACAAAATTGTTTAAATAAACATACCTGTAACTCCACAGAATAGCCCCTTGTAGATCGCTGCAGGTACGGTTTTAATAAATCGCACAAATCCACGAATGATAATGGGCATAGCCTATACTTTGAAATAAATTGATCATTAGGTAAATCTAAAGTATTTCCCCTAAATCTCAAATATCTCGGCACATTTGAATGTTGTCTGCGCCGGGAACGTAAAAACAACACGGCCGCCATATTCATTCGATCGATTTCCCGGCGAAATGATGGGTTCAGAGTGATCGCTATGAGAACGATCGATCGCGAGCTCAGAATGATCGTTGTGTTTCAAATGAATACCAAAACAGCGAAACCGATCGCAACTGATGACGTATCACAACCAATGATCGCTAAACGTTTCAATTGAATGAGGCCTTTAATGTATATTGGTTTTATTGTTATTTAACAGTATAAGAATTATTGACAATTTTATATTGGTTTTTTTTAATGCATCAGAAAACACATCAGCACTACTGTAGGTGTGAAAACTGAGTTTACTAAATTTAGTATAGTTGAAATTTATTTAATTGGATTGTTATTGATGGTGGGTTTATTCTGTACTAATTGCTATTGAAGTTGTGATTGAATTACTTACTGTTTCATTAGTATGTATTCAGGTAAAAACTTACTAAAACTCAATTAATTAATTCTGTAAATGTAGCCATAGTGTGTATTAGATTTTAATAATATTAAGGAATTTCAAGCGTTTTGAAAATTGTAGTCCTGAGTCTACTGAATTCTGTTATGTTAAGATTCGATCATTTACGAGTTTGTAAAATCACTGTGCATTAATGGTTAATATTAATAATGATTAATCTCAGTAGTAGCATTGTATTTGTGATTAGTGTGTGATAATTCTAAGTACAGAAATTGAGTGTGGCACAAAGCTCAAAGACTTTGGTTAAAATGGCTTTCTTGGGAAAAGGAAAAAAAATAGACTTACACAACCTAGCAATAGAATTATGGGAGGAGGATACAATGAGTCTAAAAATTGTGGAGCTAAAATTTCTAATTCAAAAAAGTGCAGCTTATGACGAAGTGTTCGTTAAGGGTGTTTTTGAGGGAACAGTTAATGATAGGTTGGAGGAGGAGAGACTTCGAGAACAAGAGAGAGAGAATTGCCGGGATAGGGACATAAGACAATTTGAGTTAGAACAGCTTAGGATGGGTACTTAGCAATGGGTACATTGTCGCCTGCGGTATTGGAAAATTCAAGGTCGAGTAATAAGCAGTTTCATCATGAGATACAAAAAATTATTCAAAAATTTGATTCGGATAGTGGGGATATTAGTTTGTATCTGACAATGTTTGAGAGACAAGCGAGCGACTGGTTAGCTTATTTGTTAGCACTATAGCCCATGGAAATCGTTCAACGCATATCTAAAGAATCCGAAGAAAAGGCTTGCGATTACATATATGTAAAAGCTTTGCTCTTAAAAAGATTCAAATTGAGCCCCGAAAAATTCCGTCTTAAATTTATTCAGCATCAACGAAGATCAGATGAAACATGGAGGGATTTGAGTTTTGCTCTGAGAAATTATTTAGATGGATGGTTAGGCAGTCTATAGATAAACGATTTTGAGAAACTAAAGGATTTGATAGTTACTGATCAATTGAAATGTCGAGTCGGCATTGAAGTCAAGGAGCATCTCTTGGACGACTGGGTAAAAGTTACTTCTGCAGCTAAGTTGGCAGATATGTTAGATGACTACGAAGATTTCAGAGAAATTCAGCCCATCCGGGGTATCAAGACCGAATGAAGAATGATAGGAATTTAACTGATCTTAAAGATAAAAAGTGGGATGACGAGAAAAAAAATATTTCGTCTTGGGCAGAACAAATGAAGACCAGCCAAAACAAAGCATTTGAAAAAAGAAAGACTTCTAGGTGTTTCGAATGCTGCTCAGAAAATCACCTTAGGCCCCAGTGCCCAAAACTCATCAAGGATAAATCACCAGCCATGGTAAACAACATATATCAATATAAAAGCGCAGAGGAATTGTCTCCGTTTATCATGGAAACATGAGTAAATGGTCATTCTATTAAAGTACTGCGGGACACAGGAGCAAGCCTCGATTTGGTGAGTCGTAACTATATCACTCCGGAAATGTTTACGGGAAAAACAATATGGGTGAGAAGTCCTTTGGATATGGAAGCGAATTGTCTACCATTAGCATGGGGTGGGAGTAAAGAGAGATTGAGATGTGAAAGAGAAAAGAGCGTACGTTGGTTTGCGCGCTCTACTGTAGTGAAAATGTATTTTAAAGTTTTTCTAAATTGTAATCTGTACATAGTTGTATATAAAGATAAATATTTAGCCTAAAACAGGTCTTGTTTCTTTGACAGAGATGGTACAATGACATGGTGTCAGAGAAGAGGGATTATGACTATTTCAGTGAAGTATAAGTGATTCATTAAAAAAGGTAAAATGTATTTTGTTGGAAATTGAAGTCTGAACATAACAGAAATGGCTGAAGCAGAACTTGCAAAACTTAAGAAAGAATGAAAAGTTATTCGTTCAGCCATAACTAGTAACAGGTTCCATTGAATCTTTAATTGCTTCTTGTAATATTGAACATTTAGAAGAACGACATTGAAACTGAAATCGAAAGTGCCCTGGAATACGAAGAAAAGATTGCAAATGGAATTTCAGAGGCACAAAATTATTAAAGGAAGAAAGAAAAAGGAAATGTCAACAATTTACTAGCTTCTAATGGTTCTTCTCATGATAATAGTAATGTATCTATTATTTCTCGTGTTATTAATAAAAGCTCTGATTACAGTGTTAAGTTGCAAAAAATTATGATTGATAAATTTTATGGAAATGCTGAATTATGGCAAACATTTTATACTATTTTTTACATTCAATAAATGAAAATGGAAAGTTAGCTAAAGTTAATAAGTTCAATTATTTGCTTAGTTTATTAGATGGTGCATCTTTAAAAACTGTCAAAGGATTTTCATTATCTCCAAAGAATTATGACGAAGTGCTTTAAATTCTGACAGAAAGATTTGCTCTAAAAGATCTCATTATTAATTCCTACATGCATTAATTGTTAAATTTACGACCTGTTCGAATGATATTTGTGCTTTGAGAGAATTATATAATACCTGTAACATACGCTAAATTTATAAGAAATCTGAATTATATAGAAAAGTTACTTTATCCCATATTAATTAAATGTTATTCCCTAAGGATATAGTACTTGATTTTGCTCGTCAGAAAATAGATGAATGAAATTTTAATGTCAAAGTCCTCATGAAATTTCTAAAAGGAGAAATCAAGAGTCACTAATGAACTTCACTAAATTTATCTTACTCCAAGAGTTAATGTGAATTTTCCTGGAAAGCATTTTATTCCGCATAATGAAAAACAAAACAATTTCCCCACTTTTAATTCTTTCAATGCCAGCCCAACTATTGGCACCAATCACTTCAATAATGTAAACCAAACTGCAGCTACTTGAACTTTTTCTTGTTCATTTTGCTTCGAAAAAATGCATTATGTTGCCAGAAAAATGAAAAAAAGAGTTTAAAAGCTTTAAATCGGTGCTTTCTTTGTTTCAAAAGGAACTGCAGAATCAAAAACTGTCCTTCTCATTCAAAATGTAATTCTAAGCATCATAACATAGTGTTGCACGAAGATAAGAAAAGGTTTAATAAGGAAGAAAGTAAGACTAGTCCTACGCCGTAACCGCAAAATCTTTCTTCTAAATATTTTAGTGTGAATCAAAAAGCTAAAAAGGGATTAATCAATAACCTGCCGATTGTTAGACTTGCTTATGATGATAAATTAATTAATGCAGTAGCAGATGCATGGCATGCAATTAACCGTTATTAAGGCTGATATTGTACCAGAAAGATACAGTACACCACATGAAAGTGTTATCCTCATGTCAGTTTTCGACAATCTTTAAAGGCTTCTCTCATTAACTTATTGGTTAAGTTATGTAATGATTTGCTCGTGTCATTAAGTGCTTTTAATGAGATAAACAGAAGTTTAATTTTGAACGCAAAAATATAAACATTACTAATAGTTTGGTTGAAATGCCTTTTTGTGAAACTAAATATTTAATCACTACAGGGAAAACCTTATTAATTGAAAATGTAATGAAAATAATAGAATGTTATGCTCTGGTGCCTTAAAAGAAAGGTAAAGATGATTCTAAAGGTAGCATAAGACAAGATCACTGTGTTTTGAATTTAAAACTGTTTCAGGTTCAACAAATGAACAATCCATCTTTAAAAGCATGCTGCACAGATGTTAAGAATGGAAGTAATAATTTTATTGTTATTGACAACTTTTTGTATCATAAAGGTAAGATTTTATGAGCAAGAGTGCCAAACGATTGACATATTCCTTCTATTGGCCTGATCAAGAAAGAAGTGAGTTAATATTGTAACCTTCATACTTCTTGTCAACTCCAAGCTAAAAAGCATCCTTTTGATTAAGTTCCTATTACAGCAGTGACACATCCTAACAAACCATTCCAGATAATTAATGTAGATATCCTTGGACCTGTGGAACCAAGCTGTCAAGGTTATAAATATGTTATGTGTGCTGTTGACTAATGTATACGATGTAGAGATGGCCAGAAGTAGTACCATTGAAGAATCTTCATTGACCAACCAGAAGAGTATCCATGAATGCAAAATCAACATGTAATGTGTTGTTGCATATCTTTACACACACTTGAATCCCTCAGATTGTTGCTCAAGCATCATTTTTACTTCCAAGCAGGTAAGTCTCATTAATTCTTACCTTATTACATGGTTCAATAAAACCACTTCAATATGTGAATAAAGCAACACATAAACTAACTATTTACGATATGTTAGCTTCTTTAAACTACTTTCAAAACGATGGTTCAAAACCATTATTACTAACTCAGTCGGTTCTTGTAACAATTCTCTATTAACAGAGTGCAACAGGGTTGCCACAAATATATGCAAAATTAATCATTTACCGTAGCGCTACCTAACGGCCAAACCGACAGTCACAATAGTTGCATCAGATCAAGGAACTAACTTTACTGTTTTGCTGACTCAAACATTTTTTAAAAGGACCGGATATTCACCAAGGTTCTCCACTCCTTACCATCCAAGTTCGAACAGTCTTGTAGAAAGAGTTAATGCTCTTTTAAAGAAATAATCCATCATACTATCAGAGAATATTCACGAGATTAGGAGAAACACCTACCAAACCTACTTTGGGTCTACTGTGAATCCCTAATGCTACCACTGCTTTAGACGTCCTAATGGCCCATTATCCATCTTGAAAATGTCATGGACTGATGAAATCTCTATTCCTCATGGACAACAAAGCTCAGTAACTGATTACCTGAACAATTTGAAGATTAAGTTAGAAAAAACTTCTGAATATGCAGTACTTACAGTGTTCGAAAGCAAGAAGCCTGTGCATTTTACCATAACCGGAAGACTCGTCATAAAGAATTTAAGAAAGACTACATTTTTCCGATAGTAAACACATGAGGATTAAGTTATAGTCTTAATCCCTCGATAGTGGAAACAAAGCTTATATGCCAGATGGACTGGACCTGCTACGATCATCAGAAAGCATACTAATTATAGTTACATAGTGCAAATGTCTGACAATACTTCGAAGCATTTTCATACTAACAAGATACAAGAGTTTAAGACTGCTGTGAATAACGTCATTTGTGATATATGATACAGACATTGATTTCGGAGAAGCTGAAAACTTTCCAAGAGTCATTCCACTAAAAGCAGAACACTATTCCGATGAAGAGCTTGGTCTTCAGTATCTCGGACCAGATATGCCATGACAATATACCTTTGTATTTTTACTCTTTGGATTAAGAAATGTCGCCACAATTTTCCTCAGGACTATGAACAAACTTCTCGCCAAACATAAAAACTATGCTGCGTCTTACATTGACAATGCGAATGAAAGATATATTTTCCAGTGACTGAAACATAACTGAAAGTTGATAGCTTTCAGAACATTATAAATATTTTGACATTTTCATTTGAACATTCGTTTTAAGAGCTAAAATGCTATTTATTTTGCTAATGTTATGTAATATGTTTAATATTTAGCCATGGCTTGGTTAAATATAGCGTTTAATGTTAATGATTGATTTGAATTATTTTATTTATATGATAACAAAGATCTAGGTTTAAGGAAATGTTAATGCATTAATATGGCCAAAAAAAAAAATCTATCCACATATATTCAAACTTTCTAGTTGCTACTGCTTAATTTACTAACACAAAGCACATGACAGCTATCTACATAACTGCAGGGATGCTTTCATGGAGGACTTTCAAAGATATACTGGCTCATTTATACAGTAGGTGGGCAAAGCTGCAAAATTGCTATATAACTAATTTCTTTGCTAGCAATCAAACCTTTGTCATTCTATTAATAATATTCAACTGCCTTAGTCATTTGAGTGCAAGTGACAGGGACAATTTCTGGTACTTACGTATTAATGCAATTACCTTGGCGATTTTTTACAGATGAAAAGGTAAAAGTTATTTATTGGGTGCAAGTTGGTAGTTTTCTCGACTTCTTTTTAAAAAGATTCTCAAATTATCGATACTTAGTATAAGTCAGCAAAAATTATCAACAAATGGGAGGAAAATATATTTTATCATATTAAAATACAAATTTTTAATTGTTGAATAAGAATTATGTGATGCATTAAAAAAATAAAACTCACTCTTTTCTAAAATCTTTGTTACTTTTATTTTCACTATTCTTCTTCTCAAATACTCAATGACCTGTCTTCACATAAAAAAAAAAAAAAAAAAAAAAAAAAAGAGAGAGAGAGAGAGACAGACGGAGAGAATTCGATTCTTGACATCGTGCAAACCTCAACAGCACTGCTTATTTACCAAATGCATCACGTCATTGTTCCATGTAGAGACTGTGTGATAAAATTCTATATTCCTGAAGAAATTTTACTGCAGTTTCTATCACTGCTGACAAATGCCAGAAGTGCCTATTTTAAAATTAAGGGGGGAAAAGTTATAAAACCATTGGAATAGAATAAAAAGAATGCATATGAAAATGGTGAGTTGCTTGATTGAAGGACTGTTATGAGCACAACTGCCAGAGTTTAGCACATTCTGAAAATTTGTTGACTTCAACTAAGGTGGATGTGATACTTTGATTACTCGATTATTTTTGAGATGTTTATGATAATCCTCATGTGCATTTTTCATAATCAATTAACTGACCATATGAGAAATTTGCATAAAGAAAATTGAGTGCATTACTGAAATAAAGACAGTAACCAAATCCAACAACAGAATTATCAGTCAAAATTATCATAGCATAAAATGAAGTTACTAAAACTGAACAATATACAAATACTAAAATAATTTACTATACTGAAATCATGGAAGATTACATACGTGTACAGTAGGGCTTGGATTTACTTGAACTTTGATAATTCCAAGTTTTCACCAAGTAAATTTATGAATTATTTCCTATAAAGGTTAATTATTACAAACCAACATTCACCCTGCTCACAAGCCAAATTTCTTGAAAACTCAATTTTTTTTATAAATTGTCTTTTCTTGAAGTCTCATTAAATATTTGAAGGATTTAATTCATAATTTAAATCTGAAAAATTTTAGAAAGTTTGTTTTTAATCTCAAATATGTTTTCATAGTTATGTTTAAATAGTAATGCAATAAAAGCTCGAATATCCAGAAACCTTGGGCTATCACATAAGTAAGAATTCTAGATACATGTGTGTGTAAAAATCAGGTTAAAAAAAAAAAAAAAAAAAATCAATGGAAGAAGAAATTTTTGGTTAAAAATTATTTTTAAAAAAATCCATCTTATTTGTTATCAGCTTTACTATTAAAAGCCTACATTTAACATTTAGTAAAATTTTGTAAAAATAATGCATTTTAGATAAAGCTAATGTATTTTCATACACCTTAAATGTATGAAAGAATACCTAATCCAATTATGCAATCCCATCAGCAACAGTTGGCGGAAAGCTTGTCAAACCTGTCCCAATCATTCCCGCAGAGGTCTGAAAGAAATGGTTGCATTTTATTTAATACTAGATACCGATATAGCATAAAAAAAAAAAATAAAAAAAAAAAAAACTTAAAGCTTTTGTCATAATTTTTTATGCTGTATTGCCCTTGTTTATCTGGTTTCAAATAAAGTAGCTTATTGTGCTCATTTCATACATATTTTTCTTGATACCAGGATTCCGTAATTTTTTAAATATTCTATTGCATGCTGCTCCATTTAGCAAAGGTTCAAAATTTTAATAATTGTTTCAAAATGTGAGGGAAAAAGATAAATAGCAGTTAACTTAGTTTCTTCTTTAGAAACACCAAACAGGTTCATAAAAAATTTCATATTTACGTAAAACTAAAGCAGACTTTTTTTTTTTTGTGTGTGTGTGTGTGTGTGTGATGTTGTACGTAACCATTATTAGCAAAACATCACATTTCTTGGTGACAATTTTTGCTTACTCTGAATTGTAGTTCTCATGTGCATTTCATAATGGCACTATAAAGTCTCTCATTTGCTTACTCTATCATTAAAAATGGAGATTCTAAAATTTAAAAATATTTTTGTTACTTCAATTTTCCAGATAGTTCAAAGCTGAATAGTCAGGTTTTTACTGTAATTCTCTTTTCATCCTAGAGTGATATGTCAAAATTGAAGGCAGATAATTTCTTTATTTTACTTGCTGATAGTTCCTTTTCATTTAATGATTCTTAAATATTTCTAATTTCCATTTACAAAAATGTATATGAATCTTAGGTAGAGGAAGCTGGTCTTTTGAATAGGTAAGTGGCATATGTTTGTCAATAGGTAAGTGCCGCTCAATTTTTGTCATTTTTATCTTTTAGTAATAAACATAAAATTTTCCCAAATATGAACCAGGAGACTGCATCAAAAGTTAGATTGTTACTTGAACAAAATTAAAAAAACATTTTTTTTTTTAAAATTTGAAACTGCCAAAACATGAATATTTTCGTTATTTAAAACACTTCTGTAATTGGAAGCAATTGTTTACAATGAACCATTGTAAAAATAAAAGCCGACTAAGAAGGGTGGGTATGTATATATTATATACTTTTGGTACTTCCGATTGTGTTAAAAGGGGAGGTGCATAACTTGATGTTATAGCAATTCTGTACACAAAATTTTAACATGATACAGCTAATCATTTCTGAGTTATGCGAGATACTTATGTACATACTTACATACAAAAGTATTAAAAGATCCAGTCTGAACCCATTTTATAAGCTGTATTGGAATAAAGAATCTTTCATTTTGTCCATACGCACAGGCATCACCCGAAAAAATAGCCAAAATGGATATTTCTGTTAAAATCTGAAACTTTTCGTAATTACAATGTTTTCTTTATTTTGTACAAGAAGTAAAAGTCTAACAAATAATTCAATCAAACACTAGTAAATGATTCAAGGTGTCTTATAATTTTTTGCAATTTAATTAAGAATTAATTTGATCATAAAAACTGCAATACGAAAACATCAGTTTACAATATAAAAAGGGTTTATTATTTAACTTTTTAAATATTTCATTTTTAAAAAATTCAATATGACATCTATTGTTGCCAACTCACAAAATTAAATCTTTACCATTAAATGATGTTAAAACACAAAAAATTTCAATTTTGAAAACTTTAGCATTATTTTTTGAATTTTTTCCTTCGACATATAATGCTTTAAAAGGATAATAATAATAAATTCATTATTTTCCAAATAAAATTAAAAAATATATGCATATATTAAAAATCTTGCAATCTTGTCAAAATTAAAAAACAGTAATCTTTCTTCAGCGTATTAAAAGCAATTCTGACCTTATTTTGGAAAAAGGGACCAGAAATTATCCCAGGTAACTAAATTTAAAGTTTCTTTACAGCATGAACTATATGTTTAGTGAACAATGAAGTAAATCAGTTTAAATAAATTATTTTATATTGCCAAGACAATATTACAGTATCAAAATATGTACTTATAATTTTAACACACAACACAAATGCAGCAGAACATAACTGAACTTTCTACAAAAAACTATGTGCCCATAAACAAAATTTTCAATAAAACAAATATAAAATAACTGAATTTAGTACAGAACTGTATTTATATATCAACAGTGAATATTCACATACGTAAAATATAAAAAAATTCATAATTACAAATGAAATATCCTTATGAACATCCTTTCTTTCAGATGCATTTTTTTAATACTTAAATATTATTTGATGTCAAAAAGTTATATAAAACAAGAGTTATAATGAAAACGAAGCTAATTATTTTTAATTATTAACTTTAACAGGTAATATTTAAGGAAAACTTTTACTTTGACAATTATGAATGCAAAACATATAAATCTACTGAATTTTACTATATAATGTTTGAAATAATGAATTCTCTTTGACAATCTGTCAAAGAATGTTCATGTATCAAATCACAAATGATGCCCAGTTTTTAAAATATGCGTAACTTAAAGCACAATAATTTTTCAAATAATTTTATCAGTGATGTTAATACATATGACTCTCAGCTACAAATATAATAAAAGCATGGATAATCAGAATCTGAATAAAATTAAAATGCTTTACAAATTAAAATCATAGCAAAATACTAATTTTTTATATTCATATTTTACTTTTAGTTAAATATATATTAATTTAAAATTTTCTCCAAATGCTCCGAATTGATACTTTTAGTGAGAAAACATATTTTTATCGTCAGCTAGTTTTGACTGCAGAGAAATTTTTCTGAACATAAGAAAGAGTGCAGTGCTTCTTTGCTATAGTAAAGAAGTACTGCACTATTTACAATACTGCCAAAATCTCACTGCATGTTCTTATAATACCTCACCACATGATCTTATATTAGCACTGTGTTGCATTTTTGCTCTCGCCACATGCTCTTATATTCATTTTTGATAAGTTTTTCGAATTCACATTGTTTACTAAAAATATATTCATTGCTTTTTTTTTTTCTTTTTAACATGACGCTAACAATCTTTAAATTACCATGTAATGATGTGGAGTTTTTAACACACTAATACATGAAAATGGCCACAACATGAAACTTTTTATGTTAACAATGACACGAAATGGAGATGTAATATTAAAAACTGCAAAATAAAGAAGGGTGTACATGTTCGAATGCAAAATAAAGATGGGCGTACATGTTCGAAATTGGTTTAGCAGTTCCAGAATATTGTTTGTCATTGCTGTTAGATTAAGCATTCTTGAGCAGAGGAGTTAATTTCTATGAAATGGTGTAACCAAACAGCTTAATATGTGTGAAAGTGGAACTGGAACAATTATATGTGATATTATATTAACAATAAGGACAAGAGTTCATCACAAATATTCTTAAGAAACAACATGCGAGTTTATCATCATTATTATTATTATATATTATGTTGTTTATTTTTACATTCATGCTTCATGAACTTGGCAAAATTATAGCTGAGATTTTGGCATAAATTTAAAATTGCTAAATAAGGTTGAGGGCTACTATAACAACGAAGTACCAATATTGCTCTTGAGTTAGTTATTTCAATTTAAAAAAAAAAAAAAAAAAAAAAAGAAAGAAAATGACACACTTTAAAACTTTTCAGCAACAGCCCTTACTTTGAAAATAAGAACACTGCTATAAGAGATAAATAACACAATTTAATAGTGGCCAATAAGTCAATGGAAGCCTTTCTGGCGAAAATTGTTTGATATAAAGTGTCTTACTGAATCCTCATTTCCTTATGTGGCATTATTGTCACAATGATAATAAGTAAATTTTTAAAAATTCATGAACTAATTCATGAACATACATTCATTGAAATGTAAAAACTGAAAAAGTAAATAAACTCCAAACAATTTACAACTAATGATTATATATTCCATTTCATTAAAATTGATATTTTTTTCACATTCCTATAACATTTGCAATGTTCAATACAGATCCCACACCATTTTTAACAACTAATTTAGACTAGCAAATATCAAACAGAAAATTTAGAACATCTACTTTTACTGATGTTCGTATGCTTTTGTAACTTTTGTTTGTTCCCAGTCGGTGTCTTTTGTTTATCTGTAATATATACTAAAATATATCACAGAAGAAAATATCACAATTCAGAGGCAATTGAAAAATTATGCCAGAAATACACACCAGTTTTAAAGTAGTATCAGTTGATGATTAAATTTCAATATGTTCTATTTTTAATGATTCTATACATAAATACTTAAAAAAATGTTGAAATATTTAATTTAAATATGTTATTTATTGGCCAAAACTTCATTAAATGACAAGAAAATATGAGTGATAACAATGGAGTTTCCCAGAAATTCGATGAAAGACAATGTTTAATCTATGCACAAAATTGATTTGAAAACAAGGAATTTTAAATTTGGTACAAAGTTTGCATCAGTATATGTTTGGCTTTATTATTTGCTGTTACATAAAGCAAAGGCTGGGATAAGAAAAACTGCAACAAGCTCTTTGTAGAAGAAAGAAAATAAGGTTGTCTGACAACGTGGTCAAGAACTACTAAAATACCACTAATGTCGAGATCTTTTTTCATTTTTTTATCCTCTCCTTTTAGGAGCCCAATACCAACCAAAAAGTTGTTATTAAATATAGAAACATCACTTGACCAAATACTAAAAGCTTTAGAAAGAATATCATCTGCAAATTTATATGCAGCTAACTTAACTTTTTCATTATCCAAATCTACAACTGAACATACTTTACAAAATAGCTCCACATAATCAAAATCTGATGATTCTTCAGGAAGCAGCGATAAGATATCTTCATTGGCATCGTGGAGGGAAACTAGCATACCTGAAGTTGGATGACGTACAAAATCATGGATGCTGCTCTCTTTGTATATAGGACATGGATGTAATGAAGTTTTACCATCTTCCAAAGATTTATTAGAAATTTCATCCTGTGAATCACTTTCTTCCTCTTCCTCTTCCTCAACATGTTCCTCATTATAATCATCATCATCTTCATCTTCATCATTTTCATCATCTTCCCCTAGTCAGATATATTAAAAAGAATGATGAATGAAATTTTATAAGAATAAATTTTAGCACCTAAATCAAAATAAAAATATTCAAATACTTTATAATTCATGACTTTTTTAATATATGTTACATAATTGCATAGTTTAATAAAAATATTCAAATACTTTATAATTCATGACTTTTTTAATATATGTTACATAATTGCATAGTTTAATAATCAACAGGCAATTCTTAGTTCTGATTTAAAGAACAATTTTATTTTCTTGTACTAATTCCCATTCTATTATGTGCAAATTTCAAATGTTGACACAGGTTTTTAACATGGAAGCACTGAAATGTTAGTTTATGCAGAAGCAAAATTTTTGGAATTCTAGATTATTTAAAAAAAATAAAATATAATATAATTTAAATACAATTTTTCATAAAAATATAATTAGCTGAAGTGCATTAAATACATTAATATAATAAACATGGCACAGTTTTTCGAATTGTTCAACATCGTGATCCCTATGCAGTTTATGAAAAAAATAATGGTATAACTAGAAAATTAAATGAGATTCTTGAATGAAGAGCATGTTGCCCAGTTTTTTCTTATTTTTATTCACATCAGACACAAGAACATATTAGACTGAAAAATCCAAGCGTAATTAATCTGAGAAACAGGAAATAAAAAGCTAGCCTAGTAAGCCAAAAAATAAGCCACAAAGAATTCTAAAGATTCGTTTACATAAACATTTGCCACAAGGCCTGCCCGGAAAGAATTCAGATGACCGTAAATCACGCTGTCTGCTCACATGATCATTTTTTTTAACAACTTTTGTCCCCCCCCCCGGTGAACCACAGGGAGGTTCATCAAACTTGTATATAAACAGTATACATTCATACTACAAAACACTCAACTTCCATACACAAGAGAGAAATTAAATGGAACATTAGGCAATTTAAATATAACGTTATCCAAATTTAAAAAAAGCAATACAGTAGAAGTCCAGAAAACCCGCAAAGCTTGGAGCCAGAGCTTGTGCGGATTTTAGCATAGAAAAGCTAAATCATAATATTCAGACTAAAAGTGCAAAATAAGTAAGGCATATTAGATACATATAATTAAATTACTATATACATTATTGCAATAACTTATATGTATTAAATTATTATTACATATACTATAAATTAATTATATTATTCATTGTATTATATATACACAGCATCGAGGTTTGCCGATTTCGACCCATGCAAAGATTTCTTTCTGGTGCTAGAATCATTGTTGCTGTAAAATTTCAACAGCTTTTCTTTATTTTTGCCTGTATCATACACAATCATATTCACAAGTTCCATATGATTGTGTTATAAACCAAGGAGTAGCACCTGTCTCGCATCTTTTGCAGAATTTGCACTTTTTTTTTGCATTACCGTCAATGCAACGTTTATTTTTTCAACGTTGGAAGCAGTAAAACATGAGTGTGTTTCTTATCTGTAATTGTAGTAAAAAGTGCTGAAATTTAAAATATTCTTAATTTATCCACAAAACATCCAGATAAAAAAAAGGCAGCACTAAATAATCTCGTGAAATAACAAAACTCAGAAAATACAACAACGTAAATCTTGAACTTGAGAGAGGAGTTGAATGAATTGTCTGCTTTCTTACCTTGATGCAGATTAGAGGGGGAAAAAACTTTTATCATGATGTTAATAATTTGGTATTTCCATTATGACTCATTATTATTCGGTAATTATGACGTCATTATTTGGTAAGTATTTTTTCTTCGATATTTCGTACTCAATGTTGCAGTTTCCAGAACCGAACCTCTGAATGTTTATATTTTGAGAGGCTACGCGGATTTCAGGAGTAGGCGGATTTTTGGTATTTGACTGTATTCACCTTTTTTTTTTTTAGAAGATTATTCAATGGCCCCCTAAGAGAGCATACCATGACCTCGTGAACTTAATCACATTTTAAATTATTAAACTTGTGCATGGAATTTAGTAGAATTACAAATTTTAACAGAATAATTCAAAAAAATAATAAACAGCCATAAAAAGATATACTCACAATATATATTTGTAAATTAATACTGAAGATTTTCATATAGAAATTCCATTTATACTTTCACACTTTAGTTCTGAAGTTCCAAATTGTACAAAAGTTTTAATGGACATCTAAATAACCGATGACTTGGTTTTTACCTTGCAAGCCCTCTTCGAGATACATAACGTTGAAAGGCAAACAAAAAATGCATCTGCCATCATATTACTAACTAGTTCCAGATGAACACTTCCAGTAACAGAACACATTATTAACAAAATATATTGTTTGTTTTTACTATCTTTCACAAATAATGGACCAGCATAATGGATCCCAATTACTGTAAATGGGGCTGATTGTTCCACTTGGGTAATGGAGCAACCATCTGGTCTCGGAGAAATGCTGAATCTTTTGCAAATAACACATTTACCTAGAAGAGATTTTATAACTTGTCTGACCTTTAATATCCAGCATTTTTCTCTCACCTGCACCAGCATATGAGATACGCCCGGAATGAAATACTTTATTATGGGATTCCCAAATCAGTATTCAGTGAGTTGAGATTTTGGCAGTAGTATAATAGGGTGTTTTTCATCCGTAGATACAGAAGTTTTCTCAAGCCTTCCTGTCACTCGCAATACATCTTCATAATCTAAAAATGGGTTTAAGAATAACTTAAGAGTATTTTGTTAAAGGCTTGCCATTCTTCAAACAATTAATTTCCTCAGAAAAAAAGTCCCTTTGAACAGCTTTTACCCAAAACTGTTCAGCCCGATTATATTCTTTAGTAGTTAGAGGATCCACTGTACTAGTTTTCCTCCTAAGAACATAAACAAACCATAATACCTAAGAAGAAACTGGAACTACTCTTATATTCACCCTCAAGTAGGCAAAGATTTTTGGCGTGAAATTCCATGCCGCCATATTACTACCTAAATTTTTTGTCTGCATTTTGAATTTTAAGCCTAAAATGTCTCCAAAAATGCAGTTTTTGCATATGCAAAAACCGTTTTGAAGACACAATTTAAGCTAAAAATCCGAAACAAAAAATTTAGATAGTGAGTTCTGCGCATGCCCGCCTCGGATGAGCGGCAGATGGTGAGGAGAGAGCAGTGTGCATGAAACGGGAATTCCCTTTCTCATCGGAATGTTATTATTGATGTGTTAAATAAAGTTTATATATTTTATACTTGTGTCTTGCTTCACCATGGAACTCCTACATTGGTGATCGACGTTGGACAACGCACATCTTTTGATCGTTTCTTGGAATTTGGACAAAATATGAAAATGAAACTAATCCAGACGTCATAAACAATGGATGAAATATTAGCTGTGAAAATACCTCCTTTCATTCCTTCTGATCCATCTCTATGGTTCACGATGGTGGAATCTACTTTTAAATTAGCGGTTCCAAAGGCTATAACAGAATCCAGAACCAAGTATAACTACTGTGTGGTGCATTTACCTCCCGACATCGCTATGACCGTGAGGGATATCATCATTTCTCCTGACCAAACGGATCCATATGGGAAACTGAAGAATGAAGTAATTTCTTGCTGTGGTGAAAGTAAATCACAGGAAATATGTCGCTTACTAGGGGATCGAAAGACGTCTGAACTTTTACGTGTTATGCAGCGGCGTGCAGAACACGCGCAGAATTATAACATGACGGATACTTTTGTTTTGGAATTATTTCTGCAGCAACTACCTACAAATGTGCAAGCTATTTTAGCAGCAATCACCCCTCTAACCACACAAAAGGCTGCTGAAATAGCAGATAAAATTATGGAAGTGTCATCTGCTCAGGTAAGAGTAGTTTCTGATTCTTGTGCATCATCAAGTGTTACACTAAACTCTGAACTGCTTAAAAAGATAAAATTGCTTTGCAAGGAATTTGCATTTCTACAACGTTCAAGAAGTCATTCTCGTAATAGTAATTTTCGTCATGCAACAAATTGTGAGAAATCTTATGAAAAAAGTGATCTATGTGAGTACCACCGAAAATTTGCTTCTAGAGCAAAAAAGTATACTCCACCTTGCAATTTTCAGGGAAATTTCCAGGGCAAGAAGTAGCGGCGATATACACCTCACCTTCTAGTTCTCGTCGCCTATTTGTTCGTGATCGCAAAACCAATATTAATTTTTTAATTGATACAGGTAGTGATTGTTCCTTAATTCCAGCCTCAAGATCTGATAAAATGACTACTCCTATTCAAACTTTTCTGGCTGAAAATGGTACTAAGATAAATGTATATAAACAAAAGTTATTATCTTTAGATTTAGGTTTAAGAAAACAGTTTGTTTATCCTTTTTGTGTATGCAATGTTCAAACTGCTATAATTGGTGCAGATTTCTGACATTATTTTAACCTACAACCAGATCTTAGAAATCATCGCTTAAACCAGTGCTCCGCAACTGGTGTGCCACGGCACACTGGTGTGCCATCAGTAGGATATAGGTGTGCCACAATCAAATACATGTATTTGACATTTTGCAACTTTTTATCACGTATTTAATACACAATGACAATTTTTTTTTCCTTAATAATGTCTATTTTAAATGTTTTTATATATTTCACCGTTGTGGTGGTTGTGTGGTGATTGTAAGTGTGTGTCAGCATTTGAATTTTTTCGGCACTTCCTTGATAACTCGGAACTCTTTGGTGTGCCACGAAATTCCAGAAAGATTTTTTGTGCGTTGCAGGTGAGAAAAGGTTGCAGAGCACTGACTTAAACAATACTTAAATTAAATTCTTATAGTATTTTATTACATGTTGCTAGTATATATTCAGTGAAATCTGTAATTTGTAATAATTCATTATGCTAAGTTGTTAAATGAATTTCCTCGTATTGTTCAAGCTTCTTGTGTAAACCAAATTGTCAAACATTCAGTTCAGCATCATACTGAAACTTTTGGCCCTCTTTTGCCAAACCACGCTGGCTTGCACCCGATCGTTTGAAAATTGCAAAAATGGAATTTCAACGTCT